TAAAACCCCAGCCCTAAACCCTAAACCCTAAACCCTAAACCCTAAACCCTAAACCCTAAACCCTAGACCCTAGACCCTAGACCCTAGACCCTAACACCCCAGACCTATACTCTTTAGAGCTTAGGGCGCTAGAGCTTGCAGGGCTTCGGGGGTTTCAGCCCCAAAGCCACCTTGTGCCTGGTATAAGGACCTAATGTGGTTCCTAAGGCGACCTACACAGCAGCATGGCATTGGGCTCCGTAAGGTTTGGGGTTTATGGTTTAGGGTTTAGGGTTTAGGGTTTCGGGTTTGGGGTTTAGGGTTTAGGGTTTAGGGTGTAGGGTTTAGGGTTTAGGGTTTAGGGTTTTTGCGGGCGTAGGGTGGAGAGACCCGGTTCACCCGTGCAGGCAGGTGCGCTGGCTGCTGCCTACGATGCCGGGGCAGCATTTTCGAGGTCGTCTTTCGGAGCCCAAGCAGGGCTTCCTTGAAACCACAACCCTAAAACCCTAACGCTCTAAGTCCCCCAAGCCTATGTAAACCAATCTCGGATCATCCAAGAAAGGCTTTAAATGTCAGCATTTCATGTAGGGGTTAGGGTTTAGGGTTCAGGGGTTTTGGGGGTTTATATAGGGTGTAAGGGTTTAAGGGTTTTAAGGGTTTAAGGGTTTAGGGCTTTAGGGGTGAAGGGCTCTCGGCTTCGGGTGCTCCTTTTCCTCTTAGGGTCGTTACGTGGCCCCGTTCCTATGGACAATTAAATGGGGACCCCTGGTATACCCTTTATATGCCCTGTACAACCCAGGGGCCCTTACCATCACATCCCTGTTCAAGGAGGCAAGGGGCCCGATGAAGGGACCATAGAACTACCCTCAGACTTTGTTCAGCAAAGTATGTACTACAAAGCCAAACCCCAAACCCCAAACCCCAAACTCCAAACCCCAAACCCTAAACCCCAAACCACCCTAAATCCCAAACCCCAAACCCTAAGCCCTAAACCCTAAACCCCAAGCCCTAAACCCCAAACCCTAAACCCTAAACCCCAAACCCTAAACCCTAAACCCTAAACCTTATCCGAGGAAGCCTCGGGCCTGTCTTGCTGGCGCCGACCGTCCTGGTCATCACCCTGACGGCCTCGATCCAGCGGCTCGGCTTTAGGGCTTTAGGGCTTTAGGGCTTTAGGGCTTTAGGGCTTTAGGGCTTTAGGGCTTTAGGGCTTTAGGGCTTTAGGGCTTTAGGGCTTTAGGGCTTTTGGGCTTTTGGGCTTTAGGGCTTTAGGGCTTTAGGGCTTTAGGGCTTTAGGGCTTTTAGGGCTTGAGGGCTTTAGGGCTTTAGGGCTTTAGGGCTTGAGGGCTTGAGGGCTTTAGGGCTTGAGGGCTTTAGGGCTTTAGGGCTTTAGAGTTAACTAAACTGGCCCCAAACCACCGTTTAGCTGTACATACCAAGTAGGGTTAGGAGAGCAGATTCGGATGACTGATTGTATTTTGGCTCAAGGAAAATAGGCGTGCCCGTTGTGCGTCTTTCCTTGTCTTAAGTACCTTTGTTGTACTTAACTGGTTAACAGCCTCAAGCTACGTGGTCACTTTGGTAGGAACGTAGGCAAAGCCGCGCGCCGCCATAGTGCCCCCTCCATAACCGCACACCTGCCTTGAGAGTGTGCTTGAAATTGCGCGACAGGAGCCGCTGGCCCTGCCTCATTCATACTTCACATCCAGCATTGTGTCGAGCCAGAGCCAGGCTCAGCAATTGCATTCATTTCACCTGCAAGCCACCGTTGGGCTTTCCACGTGGCATTCCATATCTCGAAATCTTCGATCGTGCATGCAAAGCACTGAGCCGGAAGAGCATTACGCAACACACCTCCACATTTGGGTTCATTTCATTAAGGCCTTGCGTGAGAAACGCATCACGCGTTTGTTGATTGCTCATCCGCTAAATTGGTGGAGAAGGTTCGTGAGTAATCTTCTTGCTAATCACTACAGAGAGGTATCGTTTGACTGGCAGCTTAGGGTCCTTGTCCGTGCTTTAACGTACGCCGACGATAGGTGGGTCCCTAGATTGCCTCAATACTTTCCGTGACATCCAGGTACATCGTGTGGCTGCGCATCTCCGCAGTGCCGTCGGCTTGACCACGCACTGTGAACGCAACATCGGACAAAGTCCCAATCCCTAAGAGGTTTCAGGGTCAAAGCAAAGAGAGTCGCGGGTCTTCCCCACTCTCATCCGTGTGCATTGGCTCAGACAGCCGGTTGAGTGCGTGTCGTTAGTTGAAAGACCTGCATTGCCCCAATATCCCATCTGAGGAATCCCGGCAAGGTAGTCAAGCTCAGGCACTCTGCACACATTCTTCTGGCCACTTTCTAGGCTTGTTGGGGTCGCCGCCCGAATTAGGCTTAGAGGGGTCGCCGCCCGAATCAGGCTGTGCAATTGTCTCTGGTACCATGGGTTGGAACGATTTTTTTGCAGGCGTGGGAACGCGTGACCTCTGAAGAGTCCTTTGTGGAGCGTGTGACTGCTGCTTTTTCCAGGGCCACGAACTCGCCTGCGGTCAAAGGCTCGTCTGAGTTCCGTCGGAGGAAAGCTGTCCTCTTGGTGGTCATCCGTGCGCTGGTGCAGCTTCTCATCGGTACTCAGCAACAGTCTGGGGCCATACGGCTGGTCCGAACTCGAGAAAGAGAGCTCGAGGGCACGGAGGCATTGCCATATCATCCTTACGCTACGTTCGTCGAGGATACCCTGGAAGAGGTCAGAGGAGTGCTTCAGGCACCTTCGCCGGAGCCTGAGATACCGGCTCCGAGGACTCCTCCTGTCGCAGTGCGTTCCAGATCTCCGCCTCGTTCCTTGGTCGAGGGTTCTGACCAAACTCCGGTACCTCCTAGACCGCGACCGAAACATAAGGGTGATCGAACCCCTGCACCTCCTAGGGCACGACCTAAACATAAGGGTAATAGAACCCCGGTTCCTCCCAAGGCAAGTACCTTGCCCGGAACACCAGGTCCGTCACGTGCACCGGAGGCTGCAGCAGATCTTCTTGTGTATCGTCCCAAAGCAAAGGCCCGGCCCGAGTCCAGACCACCGCAGGACTGGGAGTTGGACGAAAGAGAGTATCCAACCATAGCGGATTCGTTCAGGGAACAGGTTGAATTGGGACAACACTCAGATAGAGAAGCCATAAACCGGTGGACTACTGAAGAGTGGAGAGAGCATAATCAGGCGCTCTCATCTTCTTCTTCTGCCGCGCCGCGTGTTGCACCTTTGGAAGTGGTCGAAGTGCGTGAGGACATCCCTGTCCTGATTTCATTGGATTTCAGCGGGGTGCTCAACATCCACTTTCAGGACAGCCGAGATTTTTTGGACCGTTTGAACGCAGAGCGTCCGAGCCACGTGAAGCTGAAGTTTATTTGCACGAGTTACTCTGGGACAGAACGGGCCAAAGAAACGCGTCAGTCGATGGCTTCGGAGCTTCCGGGCGTGCCAGTCTACATCACTAGCTCTCCAACGGGCCGTCCTGGAAAAGGAGCCTTCATTAAGCGTTTGATGGACCGGCGGTCGGATCACTTTGCGTGTCATTTGGATGACAGATCAGACATCGTGCGGGACGTCGAGGCGTATGGTGTTCACGGTATTTTGGTATCGCCGAATACGTGGCTGACTGATCTCGTGCCCACTGTGTTGTTGTGGCTGCGGTCCCTGTAAAACGCTAAAAGAGAGCTGCTGACCTTCAGGGGAACCTGGGGTTTCTATTGCCTGGCACCATGGCGATGAGTCCCGAAACTACTGATTCCTCGCTCCAGGTGTCCACTTCCAGCACGCCGCCTACACAACAGGCGCGGGCACTCAGTGCTGTAAGGGCACAAGAAGCAAGGGTAGGAGAGAGCAGTGGTGATTCCACTCCCGTAAGAGCCGTTTCAACCGGAAGGGGAAGGTCCTCTCAACCCTATGCCTTAGCTAGTTCCCGAAATCGCTCTTCCTCCGCTAGGATGCAAGCTTTGTTGCCTCCGCCAGCTTATGCATGTGAAGTTGCAAGTCCTGCACCAGCAAGTCAACCTGTTTCGCTTGCACCGGGCGATGGGACAACCGCCCCGGATGTGCACTTGCATCAGCATGTTCAGCGCATTGCCCCAGAGTTGCACCTGCATCAGAGTCGTCAGGAATTGCATCTTCATGGGGTTGATTCCCGAACACATTCTCAGGCCGTTGCTGCTGCACAGCTGGCACAAGCGCAAGCACAAAACATTCAACAGGACGCTCAGGTGTTTGCCCAGAACGTTCAGCATGAAGCTCAGGCATACGTGCAGGTTGCAAAGAGTGAGGCTCAGGCATATGTTCAGAGCGCTGTCACTTCTGCTCAACATGAAGCCATGCAGCACGCACAAGAGTATGCAGAGCGCGTTAGGGCTGAAGCTGAGAGACAGGTCCAGAGTGTTTCAGAACAAGCCGGTCAGCATCTTGCACAAGCAAACGAAACCATTGCCTCACTTCAGGCTAGGAATCGTGAGCTTGAGGAGCAGCAGGAAGAAATGATGCAGCGGATTGCGATGATCCAAGCTGAGATGCAAAGCATCAAAGCTCAACAACAGTCCCAAGCCGACACATCACACCTTCACGCAGAGCGAGTGCCGCAGGCCTCAAGGGCTCAGGACCAAAATGGCACGGAGATCAGTGAAGCCCTCAAGGCCTTGGCTGCAAGTGTTGGTGAGACAATGAAGGAGTTGCGAGAAATCGTCAGTCCCAAAGCATCCAAGCCTAAAAGCAAAGCGAAAGGTTCGGGGCTCCGAAACGGGACACCCTCCCCTAAGCATAAGAGTCCAAAGGTCTCAGCGGCTCAAGGTCAAAGATCTGCTGGTGTGGCTGCTGCGCCTGTTCCAAATCGGTTTGGATGCTTCTGCGCACCCAGGTTGCCAGTTTTCACCGGTGTTGGTTTGCCGGCTCCGTCTAGATCCAAGAAGGGTTCTTCGAGTGACAATCCCTTCAACGTCTTCTCCACTCCCAAACCTCCTTCAGTCGTGCATCCCCCAGACCCTCCGATGCACTACGACATCGGGTCCGAACACGAGGAAGGTGAGGAGGAAGAGGAGAGGGAAGATGACCCCATCATTGATGTCACCGATGCACCGGGGGAAGAAGAAGTAGACTATGAGCAGGATACTTACCACAACAAAGATCTTCGAGACCTGAAAATCCCTGCACTTCCTTCGACAGCCGCGGGATATCGAGCATGGAGGAACGGCGTTTTGACATCGTTCAGCAGCATAGACAAGAGTGGGAACGCCAGGATACTGAGATGGCTCCAGGTCGCCCTTGATCCAGCCATAGGAGACCGACAGATGCGCAATCTGCAGGTCACGTCTGACGGCCTTCCCCGCCTTGATGCATTCCTGGCTGCACAGCTTACAGATCCAAAACACCTCAAGGGAGACTACGGAGTCGCTGCCCAGGCGTTCACCGAGCGAGCACATGCGTTAGGCGTGCAGCCTTCCGGGCGTGCGCTGTTGGCAATGCTCAGCCGAAGGTTTCGGGTAGACCGGATCAGGGGGGCGACAGTCTCCCAGCAGACACTCTTAGCCATCCAGCTCGAAGGCTTCAGCCAACAACAACTGCAAGCCTTTAGAGAAAAGGTTGAGTTTTGTTTGAACGGTTTCAGTCCCGAAGCATGGCCCGCTGAGTCTACCTTGTTTAGCTGGTTATACTCCAAGCTCAAGCACTGCAGGCTTCTTTCCAGAGCAGTCGACAAGATCAAAGACTCCAATCCAGGTAGCAACAAGCGAACCTTTGCGTGGTTGTGGTCGCAGCTTGTCGAATTGCTAGATGAGCTGAGAGAAGAAGCAAACGAAGAGTCAATTCGTGACACTCTCATCAAGCCCAAAGCCAAAGCTGCTCCCGCCCCAAAGAAAGAGGAGCGTTCCCGCGATAAGCCGGACAAGCCCACTCCTGCCAATCCAGCCCCTCCGGCCAAGACCAAAGGTTCTGGGAAGGATGGGAAAGACAAGGATGGCAAGGGAAAGGGGGGTAAAGGGAGTGGTAAGGGTGCAGATTCACAGAAAACACCAAACAAGCCAAAGGCGAAATCAGGCGGTAAAGGCCAGGGCTCCAAAGCTGAAGGCAAAGCCCCAAGCAAAGGAAATGCCCCCAAAGCTACCGTACCATGCCTGTTCTTCCCAAAGGGAACGTGTAACCGGGGTGAGAATTGTCCGTTTTCGCATGAGACCTCTCCCGGTAACAAGGCCCCAGGGTCAAAGACTACTGGAGCTAGCGCTACGGCAAAGAGCTCTGCCGCAGCTGTCGCCCTGCTGCTTCCCACTACGGCGCGGGGTGCCTCGGTCGATGGTTCCTCCACACCGAGCAAGACAACCTTTTGGAAGCGTTCAGGATTGAGTAGGTTCTTCCAGTTCGTTTCGGGGTGGTTTACTGTGTTCAGCAACATCTGCGCTCCTGCCTGTCCCGCCACTGTCACTCCGTTGCTTGTAGCATCTCAGCATCAGCACCCGCAACAGGGATGGTTCTACCACGAGTGGATCGCTGATAGTGGTGCAGGTAGATCCCTAGAGAGTCGTGAAGCCCTCAATGAACAAGGCATTCCTGAAGACGCATACGCACACATGGCCGAACAGGCACCCACAGTATCCTTTTCCACAGGGAATGGTGTCGTTGATTCAGGGCTCATGCTTGGCTTCGAGGGTTCCATTCTAGGAAACAATTCTGCATATCTCCTGGACAACTGCCCTAGTGTAAAATCACTTGGTGAGTTGGTAGAGACAAAGTCTATGCCGTTTGTATGGTTGCCAGGAAAGCTTCCGATGTTCCTGTCGAGTGTCGAACACGTTCAGGTCATTGAAGAATCCGCCATATGTGCCGATAGAGTTGAGGGAAATGTTCCAATCTTCAGGGAACAGGTCAGATTCGTCTCGCCTTCCACTGTTGCGATGCCTGGCTTCATGAGCGATGCTAGAAAGGCAAAGCCTCTTGCACGCACTACCATAGAGCCTTCACGGCACACCACGTATCGACCCTCGCCGCATATCACGGAGGAGTCTACCTTGCTTGAGTTGTTGCAGGATCCAGGGGTGCCGTCAAAGACCGCCTCCGGGTCTAGAGATCCTCCACCTGACTCTGATGACGAGCTGAAGTCTAGGGCAAAGTCCTCTTCAGCAAGAAAGCCAAAGGCTAAACCAAGTCCAAAGGACAAGGTCAAAGGTGCAAAAGCTCCTAAACCTGCTGAAGCAGCGAAGGCTCCGGAACCTCCTGCTCCAGTAGAACCCGAGGTCCCGCCACCTCCACTTCCTCCACCTGCCATTCCGCCAGGTTCTGGGTCGGACTCAGGAGAGGACGTAACATCAGAACGTCAGAAGCAACTCATCAAGGAGGCCTCTTCAATGGCACACAAGTTGACGCATATCCCTAAGAATCCCTACTGTGAGATATGTCAGCGAAGCCGCATGTATCGACAAAGAGTCACCAAGAAGCGTGCAGAGCCTCTCGAAGACAGAGGTGACTTGCCTCCTGCTGAACAGTTTGGCGAGAGGATTGCAACAGACTATATAATCCCTTCGAAGCGTGAGCATGCAGTCCATGTCATCAGGGATGAATATAGTGGTGCACTGCGAGCTTTTGTCTGTGCGCGCACAGCTGAGAGAGCAGCTCAGAACCTCCTTACCTTTGTAGGCGCCCGATACAAGCACCTCCCGAACGTGTTGTGTAAGGCTGATGATGCAAAGGAGTTAATAGCTGCCGTCTCACAAATAGGATGGGTGCATGAAGCGACCCTAGAAAACAGATTTCCACACAACGCCCAACTTGAGAGAGAGATAAGAACTCTCGAGGAATCGACTCGCGCGGTGCATTTGGCTGCTGGGTTCCATGTGGTTCCAGATCTGTGGCATGTGTCCGTGCAGTTTGCCGCGCAGACTTTGACAGTTGTACCGTGGCAGGGCAAAGACAAGTCGCGTTTCGAGGTTGCAACTGGTTCCCCATTCGAAGGCCCAAGGCTTCCCTTGGGACAGTTGGTGCATTACAGGATCCATGACCCCAGCCGCAGGCATAAGTTCGAAGCTACAACTGCTCCCGGACTATTTGCAGGTTGGAGGTTTGAGCACGGATTTGTGTATCGTGACGTGATCTGGGTGCTAGACTATGAAGCCGTCAAGTCCAAGTCGATTGGGTATAGGGACATGATCCCCGTGCCATATGCGGAAGTGCATGTCCCAGAGACTGAGACCTTCCCGCTAAAGGCCGCGGCGGATCTTGCTCTTCGCGAGTTCCAGGATCCCAAACTTGAGGCTATCACAGCGCTGGACATACCATTCAGCTCACTGTCCCCTGCTGATCCTCCTCGAAGGCGCGCAGAGTACATTACGCTTGAACGCATTCTTAAGTTCGGTGCCACACCAGGATGCAAAGCGTGCACTTTCGATTCCGTGAAGCATAGTCCTAAATGCCGAGCAAGATTCGATGCCCTGATAAAGGCTGATAGGATTGCGTTGACGTCCAAGCCCCCTGAGCCAGTTCCTCCAGCTGAGCTCCCCGAAGGCGTTGGTCTCCACCCTTCGAGTGAGCCCGCTGTAGAAGGTCTTGTTGCGAAGGTCGAGCTCGGTGTGACGCAAGTCTTTGTCGATGTCAACAGGGAAAGAGTCCGCCAAAGAAAGGTGCAAACGCTCATAGGCAAGGATGTGTTGTTCGAATATGCGTGTGGCGACAGTTCAGAGCTTTCGCAAGCTGCGTCCGAAATTGGCATCAACAGTATCCGCTTATGCCGAAGCATGATTGATTTGTCCAACGAAGAACATGTCAAACAAGTTCAAGGTCAGGTCGAAGCATCGCCAGGTTGTGATGTGTGGCTCTCATTGCCGTGCACCGAGTTCAGTCCGTGGCAGAACATGAACGTCCATAGGCATGGGGCGAAGTACGAAAGGGTCTTCGGAATCGCCAAGAGAAGAGCAAGCTTATGTTCTTGTATGCCCGCAAGGTACTCGCAACTGCCATCGCAAATCATGGAAGGATCGCAGTCGAGTGGCCCAAAGGGTCCGGCTGGTGGGATCTCCCTGAATGGAAAGAATTTCAGGATGAACATGGTCTACACAAAGTGTCTTTTGATGGCTGCATGGCTGGAGTGAAGGGCCGAGAGCATCCAATCCGCAAGCCCTGGAGCGTAGCCACTAATGATCTGCGACTTGTTCAATTTCTTGGACAACTGCAATGTGACGGTAGCCACCAGCACGAGGCCGCCGAAGGCTCACAAACAAAGCAGACTGAAGCATACCCACGAGAGCTCGCTCACAACATCGTCGAAGCGTGGTATCCGCAACGCTACCATCGCCACATCCCCTCCATGGTCACGAAGAACTTAACAAAGCGGGAATGGAAAGCAGACCCGCGCGGAGTTGCAGCCGTGAAGAAGGAGGCAGAAGGGTTACGTTCTAACGGAACGTGGGATGATTTGACAGTCTGTCTTTTGTCTTCCTTGCGTGCCGATGCAAAACGGCAAAACCGTAAACTCAAAATTGCAGAGCTTCTCACATTATGTGGGATAAAACATTTCGAACTCCCTGAGCATGAACACAAGTTCAAAGGGAGAATCGTGTACAGGGGGGACTGCATTTTTGACCAGTTCGGAAACCATGTTCTTTTTGAAGACGTGGCTACCACACCAACTTCCTTGGTTGCCCTTAACATCGCATTGTTTTTCGGCTGCCAAGATGGAAACGCAGTGAGCCTTGCAGATGCCATTCAGGCATTTCTTCAAGCTGACCTCGCTGAGGCAGGAGAGCCCGACACATGGGTTATCCTCCCCGAGGAGCTGTGGTTGGACACATGGCACAAAGCGTACCCATCAGGGTCGAAGTTGGTGGTAAGGTTGAAGCGAAGCTTATATGGCCATCCGCTTGCTGGCAAACTATGGCAGAAACACCTAGCCTCTGTTCTCACTTCCTTTGGTGGCATTGAGATGGATTTGTTTCCTTCAAACTTCATCTTTCAAATGGGTTCCCATACCCTGCTACTTAACGTGTATGTAGATGACCTAACGTTGTCGGGAGCAAAGCATCTTCATGCACAGTTTTGGAAAAGGCTGAGAGCGCATATCAAGCTGGAAGACGAATGTTACATCGAAGCCTCGAATGCACGGATCCTTGGCAGAGGTCACCGAATCCAACGAGGCAGTGACTTCACAACTCTTGTGCTTGATATGTCTGCTTTCGCAGAGCAGGTCGTCGAGGCGTACTGCGAGCTTGCTGATGTCCCAAAGGCAAAGCTCCGTAACGTCACAACCCCAAGTTTGTCCGAGGCGTTAATGTCAGATGAGGACCTGCAGCAACCCGGCACACTGAGCCATGTAGCTGCAAAGGTACTTATGAAAGCACTTTGGCTGGGTCGGTTGGCTCGCCCTGATCTGTGTTTCATAATCGGTCGGTTAGCGTCACGAGTGGCCGCGTGGACTAAATGGGAAGACAAGCAGTTACTTCGCCTGATTTCGTATCTTCACGGTACAACAGGCTTATGTTTAGCTGCTACTGTGAACCATCACGAAGCTCCCCAGATCCACATCTTCACTGACAGTGATTTCGCCTCTTGTCCGCATAGTGCAAAATCGACGAGCGGGATCTACATGACTATAGGGTCAACAGATTTCCGCTTTCCGCTGTGGTGGGCATCTAAGAAACAGACGAGTGTTGCAAGAAGCACTCCCGAGGCTGAGGCCATAGCAATGGCTTCCGCCATGTTTGGTGAGGCTTTGAACATTCAGGTCATGATGGAGCATCTCCTCGGTCGTGCTATCGACGTCGTATTCCATCAAGACAACGAGACCTTGCTCAAAGTCCTGGCTACAGGCTATTCGGCGAAGCTGAGACACTGCAATCGAGTCCACAGGGTCAACGTTGCATCAATGTCTGAACAGCTAGAGTCGCCACAAGTCACTGCCGTGTACTGCAAGAGCGAATCTCAGATAGCTAATGGCCTAACAAAAGTCATTCCACCTGCAGAATGGCCACATACTCTCGCACAGTTTGGCTTGACAGCATCCAGCGATGGACCCCACCTGGAAACTGCCGTCGCCGCACTTGCAGAGGCAAATCTTGCCGCAGAAGTCTTCGCAGGCAGTTGCCCAAAGGTCCCGACTTGTCAGCATCTGGTGCAGCTACTGACGCTGTTACCTCATGGTCCTGATAAGAGGGGGGCACCGGGGCACGACTCGCATGTATTTTCTGCGGGCGCATTTGTCTTAGGAGGAGTGTTTGGCCTGCAGACAAACACACACAAATTTCAATATGCAACGGCGTTGATATGTCGATTCTTTCGACGTTATATGCCATCACACAAGTTCTCAAGCATAATCGTGCAGCAAGGTGTAGTCGCGGGGCTCCACCGAGACTCCAACAATGCAGAAGGCTCAAAGAACCTCCTTGTAGCGTTAAATCCAACAAGTGGACCCATATTGTGGGTAGAAGATGAGGAAGGGACTGTCCAATGTCCAAACGACGACAGCCTATGGGGTCACATGTTGTGTAACCCTGCACTCTTCAATCCCAGAGCACGCCACTGCACAGTCCTGACAGGATGTGAGGCTTCAGAACGAATCGTTGCCATAGCATTCCTGATCAGAAATGCCGAGCGCTTGAGTCCTTCAGACCGCGCAACACTACTGAGCGCAGGTTTCAACCTGCCCTCAATCTGCTAGTCCAGTCTCACCGTTCTGTCTCCTAAAGGGGGGAGTTAACTAAACTGGCCCCAAACCACCGTTTAGCTGTACATACCAAGTAGGGTTAGGAGAGCAGATTCGGATGACTGATTGTATTTTGGCTCAAGGAAAATAGGCGTGCCCGTTGTGCGTCTTTCCTTGTCTTAAGTACCTTTGTTGTACTTAACTTTTAGGGCTTTAGGGCTTGAGGGCTTGAGGGCTTTAGGGCTTTAGGGCTTGAGGGCTGTAGGGCTTTAGGGCTCTAGGGCTTTAGGGCTTTAGGGCTTTAGGGCTTTAGGGCTTTAGGGCCTTAGGGCTTTAGGGCTTGAGGGCTGTAGGGCTTTAGGGCTTTAGGGCTTTAGGGCTTCAGGGCTTCAGGGCTTAGGGTTTAGGGTTTAGGGTTTGGGGTTTAGGGTTTGGGGTTTAGGGTTTAAAGGCGTTAGGGTTTTGCGGTTTAGGGTTTCGGGTTTAGGGTCTTAGAACCCTACGTAACCCTAAACCCCAATTCCTAAACCCTAAACCCCAAACCCCAAGCCCTAAGCCCTAAACCCTAAACCCACACCCTGAACCCTAAACGTGTTCTCCCAAGCTCCAAGGCTGGAGATGGGCATCGTGGCGAGCAGCTTCTGTGAGGGCCCTGAGCTTCTTTCGGGTTTAGGGTTTAGGGTTTAGGGTTTAGGGTTTAGGGTTTAGGGTTTGGGGTTTAGGGTTTAGGGTTTGGGGTTCGGGCTTCAGGGCTTTGGGCTTAGGTTTCGGGTTCAGCGCTTAGGCTTGAGGATTTCGTGAGGTCTTGTAGGACTTCGGCCTCAAAGTCGGGAACCCTAAGCCCTAAACCCTGAACTCGAAACCCCAAACCCTAAAGCCTAAACCCTAAACCCTAAACCCTATACCCTACACCCTAAACCCTAAACCCTAAACTCTAAGCAGAAGAAGCAAAGGCCAAGGCGATGGTCCAATCAGAGAAGGTGCTTCTACTCGCCAAAGCTCAACGAGACTCCTGCAAGACACAACTACAACTCGCGACCCACACAGTCGCCGAGGCAAGAAGAGCAGAGAAACAAAGAAGCAAGGCAAAGCCCAAGGACAGAAAGCAAGACACAAAAACACACAAGAAGGACAAAAGAAGGGAGAAGGCACACCCAAAAAAGGCACAAAAAAGGGACCACGCGCAGGAAGCACCGCCACCAACGATGGTGACGAAAGAGAGATGGAAGGAGCCATCCGCGACCTGCTTGACGATGATGACAGGCGAGGGTTTAGGGTTTAGGGTTTAGGGTTTAGGGTTTAGGGTTTCGAAGTATCTAGGAGTTCATCGTGTAGGAACGTGTAAGAGTGGACACATGGCGTTCCATTGCACCAAGACAGCGGATAAACCACACGAGCAGCTGCGTCACGGTTGCAAAGTGCCTTGATTGCAGTGTAAGAAACGCAACAACTAAGGCCCGGATCGACGAATGAGGTCGAGCTCGCAGACTGCCACGCGGCATCAGTAGATTTGCAAATGATGACTACATTTCACGTGGATGGGATATCCGCATGCGAGTCAAAAATGTCAGCACGACTCTCATGCCGCCGAGACCAAAGATTCAGCGACGACGTTCTCTTCTGTCACTATATAACTATAAGCTGACACCAGGTTTCAGTCGAAGAGTAACGTTAGGCTCAAGCTGACCCCTGCAGTTGAACTCACCTCTCAACGTATCAGTTGACCGTGGCCTCCATGCAGCATCCAGGCGAGAAATCAAAAAGAAAGCCTCCTCTCGGTTGTCCACACTGTAGAGTTGAGGGTGTAAGACTTACAGGGACTTGCCTTTTAGCTACAACTCTGCAGCTGCTTCACTTGGAGGTGAATGCATGTGTGATATTCTTTGGCTCGACAACAGCTCGAACAAAACAATCGCTCCGCAGTGTTTGCTCGAGTCAACTATAAATTCCAAAAGAAAGCATCAGCTTCCTAGAATCACGCGGGAGCGTGCTCCACATGTCGACAACAAACTGAGTCTATCTGAGAAAAGAAAGCTGGTAGAACTAGCGTCAGGGTTACATTGGAAATTCTGCCCACGATCTAGACCGCCTGCCGCCGAGGTCACAGTGCGAAGACGTTCGCGCCATGTTCTCACGGACGCTGCAATTGCGGCTGATGAGCGGAAGACAAATGGAAGTCACAGCCACGAAGCGCCTAGTCATGCACTCATAACACACACTCATGAAACCTGTGAAAATCCGCCCCCGTTTGCAGGAACCGCGCGGACAAGTCGGAACTCAGCGACGTCTGCAAACATCTACGTTTGGCGGGCGTGCCAAGTCTTGCAGATGTGAAGGGGAAGAAAGTGCCCCTGTTCAAGAGGTGGTGTGACGTCAATCCGAAAGCGTGCTACACAATCATCCTGAACCAGATGCCAGGACCCTAACGCAATAATAGTTCTCATTCTCGAAGATGGCCTCCCCCCCCCCCCCGCCCCGGCCCCCCACTCACCCCCTCAAAACAAAACAGCACAACCGAGGTCGTATGACACAAATCCACGCGAACAAGCAGACGAGCGCATGGGCTCGAATCCACACGCTGATCAAGAAGCGTAAGTGTGATGCCCTCAACTCAGAATACGCATGAGCGCGATCTGAAAAGAATGCCTTCTGATGCTCAGGTCTGCTGCACCGGGACACTCCGATGTGTCGGCTGATAGCCTCTGAACAGAAACATCACCGCGCTAAAGCGCCCAAAAAACATGCGATGTGCAATTGCCTACTATACGAAAATCATAAGCAGCTCGCTCAAAACAAATCGCCCAGAGCCCGAGATCCTCTATCCGCTCATGCCTATATAAGACTGCTCACCGCAAAACTACACAGTACTCTGCAGCGTCTATAGGCAACTGTGTCCCTACAACTTGCCCGCAAATTTTGATGTGTCGATGTTTGCTCGAGCCAACTATTGAAAGTTCGAGATTCCCGCCTTCTATACCTCAATCATTCGCTCCAAATGGCGAAATTTTGAAAACGGCAACAGCGGTCGACAAGAAGGGGCAACTGCAAGCTGAAATCCTGCCAAGACCTGAGCCAACCACCTCAGCCTTGCCCACATGAACCTTTGCGCCTGTAAAACCACGCAGCGTCTTGTCAGGTCACTCGCCCAAGAATATCGCAGACGGTTCGTGGCCCCACTGAAGCTACGACTGCTAAGCGGAAGAGAAGTTGAAGTCAATGTGGCAACGCGCCTCGTCCTGCACGTTAAACACGCAGAACCCTTGATTCTGCCAGATTGAGCCCTTGTTCGATTCAGAGGCGCACGTCGCTGAAGCCCCAGCTCACCAGGATCTGCAAGGACTTGCAACTATCAGGAACACCAAGTCTTGCAGATGCGAATGGAAAGTGCGTGTCCCTCTCTTGCACATGGGGCGACAGCAAGCTGGTACATGCTCATCATGAGCCAGGCCTCGAGCAAAACGACATCAGTCGATGTTCACAACGGCGTGCGAGTCAAGACGCTGGCACGCGCTGCCTGGCATCAGTTGTTCCTGCCAGCAGACGACCAACCAGAAGCACGTCACTCCGAAAACTGGTGGGATCACAAAACAAACAAGCCCCCCGACCTCGCATTGATCGACGAATCCGGACCACCCTTGAGTCCAAGCGCCGCGTTCTGTGGCTTCATCGAAGCAAACAGGTGCCTAACTTTGGTGCGATGCTCAGCAAATCTCGGAGCATTCGATCGACGACAGCCTGCATGACTCTGCATGACCATTCCTTCAAACGACAAGTACTCTGCGTCAGAAGCTGTCCACGCCCGAGAACACTTGAGCGACGGCCGTTGAGAATCACTGGTCAATAAGGCGACTCTAGCACGCACACACACACACACACCAAAAAGAGGATCAGAAACTCTAGCAACACACCATTCAGCAGCAATTTGGCGATTTTGATGCACGATGAGATACCCCGCACGCAGAAAGACTAACGAAAAGGTCCATGCTGGCATGAACCAATACTCGCAGACTGAATGTTGACCAAATAGAAACAAACTAAAGCACTCACGTAATCAAGTCAGCGACCTACCAACTTTATTGGGATGCTGGCATCGCTAGGCCGCACACATAACCAAAAATGCTATACGTAGACGTGAAACGCTGCAGTAACTGACACGGGATCGACACTCCAAACACAGCAAAACAATATCGGTCAGGCCGGCCAAGCTGAACATTGCTGCTCACTTGCTCGAAATCTATCAGTAGACCCTAAACCCTAAACCCTAAACCCTAAACCCTAAACCCTAAACCCTAAACCCTAAACCCTAAACCCTACTCCGCAAGGTGCCGACGTGGACACCAATGCTTTGACGTGCATCGGCAAGTTCGCTGGGGAGAGCGAGTACAAGCTCGCTGAGTATTACATCATGGGTCGCTGGGTTGTGTTTAGGGTTTAGGTTCAGGGTTTAGGGTTTAATGTTGGACCTGCTTTAATAATGTAACCCCCCCCCCAACAGTCGCGACCCTGAATAAAAAAAGACCCCAAACAGTCGGGGGGGGAGCTCTCTTCAGGGTTTGGAACCAGATCTCAAACTAAGAACTTGACCTCAAAAACCATTTAAAAAAACAGGCCCGGCCCGAAATCTTTTCATTATAGCGGACCCCCAAAACAGAGGGTCCAGATCCTGAATAGCCGGAAAACTTTTCATAATAGCGGCCCCCTAGAATATTGCGGGTGCAACATGAGGGTGTAGAGTGTAGGGTTGAGGGTTCAGGGTGGTGCTGGCGGACATCCCAGCACGCTAAACTTCAAACCCCAAGGCCTCAGTCCTGAACCATGCCTCAGACGCCACCGCATCTAGGGTTTAGGGTTTAGGGATTAGGGTTTAGGGTTTAGGGTTTAGGTTTAGGGCTTCAGCAGGGGTCAGGGGATATCTATTTGGAGGGCTACGTGGTGTACCGCACCAAGCCGTCTTCAAGACCCCAATGACCCTTAATTAAGGAATATACCTTAAGTGATATAGGGATCCTTAATATGATTTAAGGCATATTCCTTAATTAAGGAACCTACCTTAAGTTATATAGGGACCCTTCATATGATTTAAGGACATTTAAGGTATATTCCTTATAGTTAAGGGGCATGGGGCTCTTCACTCAGCCCACGGGAGCGCTCTGAGGGCACTTTCGTGGGCCCTTCGGAGGTTTAGGGTTTAGGGTTTTGGGTTTTGGGTTTAGGGTTTAGGGTCTAGGGTTTAGGGTTTAGGGTTTAGGGTTCAGGGTGTAGGGTGTAGGGTGTAGGGTGTAGGGTTTAGGGTTTAGGGTTTAGAATACGCCACCTAATATTTAGGGTACCCCAGAAGGGATCATGATTTTGACAACCACCCATAATGTGGTCCCTTACCTCCTTGAAACGGTTCTGACGCATGGGCCCTTAATTTGCACAGAGTATATGAGGGGTACATAAGGGGTACCCCTTTAAAGCCCATTATAAGGGACCATGAAACTACCCAAGAAACGCGAGGTGAAGGTGACAACGCCCTCTTGCAAGACTTGAACAACGCGTCCGCCCTGTTGGCCAGCTCCAACAAGACCATCGCGGCGTATGGCACGCAGGCCGCCGACATCCAGGTCTAGGGTTTAGGGTTTAGGGTTTAGGGTTGAGGGTTTAGGGTTTAGGGTTTAGGGTCTAGGGTTTCGGGTTTAGGGTTTAGGGTTTAGGGTTCCTAAACCCCAAACCCCAAACCCCAAACCCCAAATGCCCCATGGGTTTAGGGTTTAGGGTTTAGGGTTTAGGGTTTAGGGTTTAGGGTTTAGGGTTTAGGGTTTAGGGTTTAGGGTTGCGTTGAGGGAGGTTCGGGTTGCCCCCTGAAGCTTCAAAATTCGAACCTTGCTGTTCTGTTTCTCGAAAAGAAGAGCGCGACGCGATTTAGGGCTTGCAAACACTGCATGTTCAGGCTTTAGCGAGGGTTTAGGGGGTGTAGGGGGTGGAGGGTTTAGGGGTGTCTGGGGTTGAGGGTCGAGGGTGTGGAGTTTACATGAAAGGGCCTAGGGTTTGGGGACCCTAAACCCTAAACCTTCTCTACCTGTGTATATTTTACACGTTACTGACTGAGACGTTCTGTTGTTTTTTTTGGCGCCCTCCTGGCCCGCCCGCGGGGTTCTTAGGGGAGGGGCATGGGGGGTAGGTACCTAGCAAACCTCAGGGAAGCTGAGGGAGCCTTAGGGAGGAGTGCGGAGTAGTAGGGAACCTCCCTCATGAAGGATCCTAGAAGACCGGGATCCTAGAAGACCGGGAACCCTGAAATTACATTGGAAGCCCCAAGTCTGCCTTTTTGAACACTTCGGCCATCAGAAACTGTGCCTACTTATTGCTAGAATCGGCACAACCTTTTTCCCAAGTCTGGGGAACCGCTCACAGACACGACATCAAGTCTTTATGATGGAGCCCCCTCAACCCTGACGGAGGAAGTTCTTGGAAGCACACATGCAGAGAGAGCCGACTCGTAGGTTTCAAGTGAGAGTTGAGGGTGAGGTGATGCCAAACACATGGGATGTAAGGGGGCTTGCGGATCGCCGGCCCAGGCCAATCGCTCAACCCTCAACCCTCAACACTCAACACTCAACCCTAAACCCTCAACCCTGGCATCATCCAAGTAGAGCAAACAAGCTTGCTGTCGGGAAGCTTTTGGGTCACAGAGGCCATCGAAACCCCAAGCCCTACGCCCTCAGCCCTCAAACGCACTAAGCCCTTAACCCCAACCCTCAAAACCACGAAGCCCTGAACCCCGAACCCTACACTTTAAGCCCAGAACCCCTAAACCCTAAACCCTAAACCCTAAACCCTAAACCCTAAACCCTAAACCCTAAACCCTAAACCCTGAACCCTGAACCCTAAACCCTAAGCCCTAAACCCTAAACCCTAATCCCTAAACCCTAAACCCTAAACCCTAAACCCTAAACCCTAAACCCTAAACCCTAAACCCTAAGCCCTGAACGTTCAGCGGCCCCCGGTCCTGCCCTCTTCGGCGCCCTTCAGGTAGAAGCCCTCTGCTCCTGGCGAGGTCTTCCGGAGCTGCAGGACCGTATAGGGTTTAGGGCTAGCCCTAAACCCTAAACCCCAAACCCTAAACCCGAAACCCTAAACCCTAAGCCCAGTGTAGAATTTAGGATTTAAGAGTTTGGGCTTGTAGGTTTAGAGGTTTAGGGGTTTAGGGTTTGCGGGGTTTTAGAGTTTAGGGTTCAGTAGGGCCTAAGCGAAGTACCCTACGTGCCCGCAACCCCTCACGGCTCTCAACAGCCCCAAACCCTCAGGTTTATAAGGTTTAGGGTTTAGGGTTTGGGGTTTGGGGTTTAGGGTTTAGGGTTTAGGGTTTAGGGCACCTTTCATACCCGGAGCCCCTTAGCCAGGATGGCGCGGCCAAGGCCAATCACGGCCTGGAGGTCGGCAGCTTCGAGCGCATTTGGAACGGCCGTGGGTGCGGGGGTTCAGGGACCCTAAACCCTAAACCCTAAACCCTAAACCCTAAACCCTAAACCCTAAACCCTAAACCCTAAACCCTAAACCCTAAACCCTAATTAACCCTAAAACCCTATAGCCCTATAACCATATAACCCTAAAACCCTAAACCCTAAACTCTGAAGACTAAACCCTAAAACCCTAAAAAGCCCCAAAACCGTAAAACCCTAGAACCCTAAAACCCTGAAGCCCTAAAACCCTAAAAAGCTACAACCCTAAAACCCTAAAGCCCTGAAACCCTAAAACCCTAAAAGCCTAAGCCCTAGAGCCCTAATGCCCTGAAACCCCAAAACCTTGAACCCTGAGCCCTGAAAGGTTGGCCTTGGGGCTTGTGCTTATTCAGCTCCGTGGTTCTTTACTGTAACTTTAAATCCGCAGCCTTTTTGGGTTTATTGGGTTTCTACATGAGGCAGCTAAAAACTCAATTTATAGCTACCCTGCTAAGTGCAGCCTAGTCAGCTAACAGTTGAACTTAGAATTTTTTGGGCGCGGTGCCGGGGGACATGCTTGCACACGTCGCGCTTTAATTGTTTGGCTTAGGGTTTAGGATTTAGGGTTTAGGGTTTAGGGGTTACGGGTTAAGTTTTTTTTTTTATATTTGGAGCATGAAAAGTTTTGCGTTTGTTTCCCCTGGGTTACTGGACAAGTAAGTATAGGGCTTTCAGGGCCGGGGGTACTAGGGTGTAAGGGTATTAGGTAAGTGGTCGAATCTGTCTTGGGCTTGTAAGCTGTAGGGTTTTACGATTTTTTTTTTTTTTTGGGGGGGGGGGGTGGGTAGGTTGTTGGGTTTCAAGGGGTTTTTAGGGCTCAGGGCGAATGAGTTTGTTTCGAGTCTTGCGGGTTTGGTTTTTAGGCGCTGTCTGTCGTTGCTCAGGAAGCGAACTGCTGTCCGAGCAGAATGTCTACAGGTACTATGACGTGGCCGTCCGTCAGGACACCGAGATCCTCAGCCCTAAACCGAAACCCCCCCCCCTTCCCCCCTCCCCGGACCCCACGCCCCCTAAAGCATGAAGCCTTCAACCATATGGGCAACTCCGGAAGTTCTGGCCGTTTTTTGGGGCATAGGGTCCGTATTACAATAGAAACCCAAACAAGGGACCCGCCCGTACCAGGGAGCAGCTTGGATCGTTTCCCCGACGCCTGAGAGGATCAACAAAAAGTAGATCCCTTTAAGGGTTCCTAAGAATGGCCCAATAATAGTATTGGGTACTAATTATTTGGGGGCTCTTCTGTTGGATCCTCCGAGGGGTCTGGCCTTATTCCGCATATACACCATATACAGTCCCTCTATACCTCAGCCCCGACACTACCCCCTACAAGGTCCCTTACAAGGGTCCCTCCTTCAGTCCCCGAAGCCAGCTAAACCCTAAACCCTAAACCCTAAACCCTAAACCCTAACCCTAAACCCTAAACCCTAAACCCTACACCCTAAACCCTAAACCCTAAACCCTAAACCCTAAACCCTAAACCCTAAACCCTAAACCCTAAACCCCCAATCCCTAAACTCAGAGGACCTCTGCAAGACCACCATCGTGGGCCTCGGCTGGCTGGTAATCTTCCAGGTCGTGGTGGGCCTCTTGCTGCTGCCCATGCTCGTCTGCGCCGGGTGCCCGAGGTCAGGGTTGAGGGGTTTCACCCTAAACCCTAAACCCTAAACCCTAAACCCTAAACCCTAAACCCTAAACCCTAAACCCTAAACCCTAAACCCTTAATCCTAAACCCTAAACCCCTAAACCCTCATAAAACCGCAAACCCTAAACGCCTGAAACCCTGAGCCCTAAGCCCTACTGTTTAGGAGGGTGGGGCAACCGAAGTCAAAGGTTTCTAGGCTTTGTGGTTGCGGGGGCCGCCGAACTCAGGAGTTAGGGTTTAGGGTTTAGGGTTTAGGGTTTAGGGTTTAGGGTTTAGGGTTTAGGGTTTAGGGTTTAGGGTTTAGGGTTTAGGGCTTGTTTGTTTGTTTTTCGGGTTTGGGGTCTTGGGCCAGTGTTGGACCCATTAGCTCTGCAGAGTTTCGGGTTCCAGATCTTCCAAAACCCCTTAATGAAGGAATTTACCCACTTAGGACCGTAATTATGCATTAGGGTATGTTCCTAAACCCTACACCCTAAACCCTAAACCCTAAACCCTAAACCCTAAACCCTAAACCCTACACCCTACACCCTACACCCTAAACCCTAAACCCTAAACCCTAAACCCTAAACCGCCCCTTGAGGGGTTTGGAAGTTGGGGTTCCGAGGTCGCTGGCCGCTACCTCCAAGCTCGCCGCGGCTGGCACCTGGAGCAGGAGGCCTTGCCTTGAGGGTTCAGGGTTCAGGGTTTAGGGTTTAGGGTTTAGGGTTCAGGGTTTAGGGTTTCGGGTTTAGGGTGTAGGGTGTAGGGTGTAAACCGTTTAGGGTTTAGGGTTTAGGGTTTAGGGTTTAGGGTTTAGGGTTTAGGGTTCAGGGTTTAGGGTTTCGGGTTTAGGGTGTAGGGTGTAGGGTGTAGGGTTTAGGGTTTAGGGTGTAGGGTTTAGGGTAGAGGGTTTAGGGTTTAGAGTTTAGGGTTTAGGTTTTAGCGCTCAACCCCAAGCCAGTTCAGGCACAGACGCAGAAAATCCCCAAACGCCTCAGCTCCAAGCCCAAACCCTATAAACCCAACCCGCAAACCGCCAACCTCAAACCTCCGGAGCCCCCTGAAACTCCAAATCCCCCCCCGCCCCCCCCAACCCTAAACCCTAAACCCAACCCTGAAACCCTTAAACCCGAAACCCTAAGTCCCTTAAACCCCGAAACCCTAAAACCCTTAAACCCCAAAGCCTCAAAACCTGAAACCCCAAAGTCCTAAAACCCTTCCCCGAAACCCTAAGGCCCTAAGACTCTTCCCTAAACCCTAAACCCTAAACCCTAAACCCTAAACCCTAAACCCCAAATCCTAAACCCTAAACCCTAAACCCTAACCCAAAAATCCCTTCAACACTTGAACCCTCACACCCCCTCAGATCCCTCCAAAGCCCCCCCAAAACCCTAAAACACTTCAACGCTAACACCCTAGAACCCCCCCACCCTCATCCCTAAACCCTAAACCCGAAACCCTAAACCCGAAACCCTAAACCCTAAACCCTCAACCCTAAACCCTAAACCCTAAACCCGAAACCCTAAACCCCCATAAAAAGCAGGGGCTGCTCTCCCGCCACACGGCTCGTGGTCCAAACGTCTGAGCCGGGAAGGATGTGCAGAGCACGCCAGTGTTTCCATGGGCCCCCACCTTTTTTTTTTAAAGGACTGCTTAGGGTTTTGGGGTTTAGGGTTTTAGGGTTTTTGGGTTTTTCAGGGTTTTAGGGTTTTGGGGTTTTAGGGTTTTGGGGTTTTAGGGTTTCAGGGTTTTAGGGTTTTAGGGTTTTAGGGTTTTAGGGTTTTAGGGTTTTAGGGTTTTAGGGTTTTAGCGGTTCAGAGTGTAGAACCGACTCTCGGTTTGGATTAGTCATGTTTGGTATGGCCTCTTCGACCAAACGGTAGAGCAAGCAAGACTAAAACAGTTGACCCGAAGCCCTAGACCCCAAGCCCAAAACTAGCCCATGTTCCCGCTTATACAAAGAGTCCCTTATGGAGATTATAGTGGGGGGTACTATAATCAGGAGGTATTGCAATCCCTATTAAGGGCTGATAGTGTAGGGTAGAACATCCCAACCCTAATCCCCAGACCCCAAGAGCCCAGATCTTTTTTGTGTTTTTGTATAGCGGTTGGCTAGATTGGGGTTGGAGACTCGAAGCTTAGGGTTTGAGGGTCTGAGACATCCAGGGTTTAGGGTTTAGGGTTTAGGGTTTAGGGTTTGGGATGTTGCCCACCAAGCCCAAAGCCTCACTCCAACCAGACATCAAGCTCTCAACCCTTGTTCGGGGTTTAGGGTTGAGGATTTACTGCTATTTGTTTAAGAACCACCACAAGACCAAAGCTTGTCATCCGCATATAACCCTTGCAAGGAAGCATCTTCAATTTTTTGGGTCTTTTTTACTCGGTCACGTCGTGGAAGGTGCAGAAATGCAGGAGCCTGGGCCATGACCAGCATTCTGAAACCTTCCCCCATACCCATGCTGGTTAGATAGGCCCCCTAAACCTTAAATCCTAAACCCTAAGCCCTAAACCCTAAACCCTGAACCCTAAACCCTAAACCCTAAACTCCACTGGGCCCATGTGAGACTTGAGATGTGCTCAGCTGAATTCACGTAGTGGCTGCCGGACGGCCTAACAATTGCCGGGCGTGTTGCAGCAGGCAGTGTGCCCGGCAGGCTGCGACGCGCGCAATCTCTGCCCTTCATAGTACACGGCCCTGGCGTGAGGTCGGCCGACATGAGTTGATGAACCCCTAAGCCCTACATCCGACACCCTCAGCCCCGACCTTGGACCCCTGAACCCTAAATTCTGAACCCCAAACCCCAAACCCTAAACGCTGAACCCTGAATCCTGAACCCCAAACCCGAAACCCTACGCCCTACACCCGTAGCAACCCTAGAGCTGCTGAGCTCCGCTCCTGCAACCTGGAGTCTTGCCAGCAGCGCCCTGGTCCCATGCTACCGGTTTAGGGTTTAGGGTTTGGGGTTTAGGGTTTAGGGTTTAGGGTTTGGGGTTTAGAGCTTAGGGTTTAGGGTTTGGGGTTTAGGGCTTAGGGCTTAGGGTTTAGGGTTTGGGGTTTAGAGCTTAGGGTTTAGGTTTTAGGGTTTAGGGTTTAGGGTTTAGCCTGATTGTACATCCGCAGCTCCTGAGAACCAGTGAGGCAGTCTCATCAAGCTTCGTGTGTACAGGAAGCAGAGGCAGCAGACGAGACGCGCTTGCAGAGAAAAGGCCCTTGTGTAGGGGGTAATGTAGGGGCTACTTAAGGTTTAGGGTTTAGGGTACATAGGACTATATCAGGTATGTATACGGGTTATATTTAGGAAAATGTCTTACTTCGCCAACAGTTGAACTTTGTTAACTTTTTGGGTTTGCTTATTTAGCAGGAGTAAAGAAGTTTCACCTTTCTTCCCGTTGGAATATTTGGAGAAGTAAGCCGATCGACTCCAGAGCTCGAGCGCCTTTCTGGAAACCCTAAACCCTAAACCCTAAACCCTTGGTTCCCGCTCGCGGCGCCTGGGGTTTCGGAATTGGAGGGTGTCGATTTTTTTTGTAGGGTGTAGGTTTGGAGAACCGAAGCCGGGTGCAGTTAGGGTTTCAGTAATTGGGTCTAGGGTTTAGGGTTTAGGGTTCAGGGTTCAGGGTTTAGGGTTTAGGGTTTGGGGTTCAGGGTTTACAACCCTAAACCCCAAACCCTAAACCCTAAACCCTAAATCCTGCTCACGCGCAGGCGGGAACGGCTACAGACGACGATCACGCAGGCGCCGGGGTGCTTAGGGTTTAGGGCTCAATTCATGTCTTCAGGTAGTCACATGGTCTCTTAGCATGGGCCCTTAAAGGGGGACCCCTCATTACCCCTCACAAACCCCACGCGAGAACCCTTTAAGGGAGGTAAGGGACCACATTAACTGCGTAGAGTCTAGGGCGTAGGGCAACTTGGGGCCATAGGGTTTAGGGTTTAGGGTTTAGGGTTTTTGGGGTACTCTGAACCATCCTCTGATCCCGAAACCTAAGCTTGGAGCTCTACGCCTGAAGCACGAAACACCCAACCAAGCCTTGCAACAGCATCAGCAGACAAAGCTGCACTCTTAAACCCTAAACCCTAAACCCTAAACCCTAGACCCTAAACCCTAAACCCTAAACCCTAAACCCCAAACCCCAAACCCCAAACCCCAAACCCCAAACCCCAAACCCCAAACCCCAAACCCCAAACCCCCAACCCCCAACCCCCAACCCCCAACCCCAAACCCCAAACCCCAAACCCAACCCTCTAGGGTCCAGGGTTTAGGAGTTTTACATAACAGCTTTACAGCCGAAAAAGCCCTTAACTCCAAACCCCAGTAAAAACCCTAAAACCCTTGAAACCCTAAAACCCTGTAAGCCCTAAAACCATAAACCCCCTTCAATCCCTAAACACCTCAGACGCCTTAAACCCTAAACCCCAAACCCCAAACCCCAAACCCCAAACCCCAAACCCCAAACCCCAAACCCCAAACCCCAAACCCCAAACCCCAAACCCCAAACCCCAAACCCCAAACCCTAAACCCTAAACCCTAAACCCTAAACCCTAAACCCTAAACCGTGGCTCGCAGGTTCTGCAGGAGCAGCAGGCGCAGTTGAAGTGGTACGACCTGCAGCAGCTGGCGAAGCAAGTGGAGCTGGAGGTTGCCCCGGCTGGTTGGAGCTTGTGCGCCCTCTGTTGTGTTTAAAGGAAGGGTTTAGGGTTTAGGGTTTAGAGTTTAGGGTTTAGGGTTTAGGGTCTAGGGTCGAGGGTCTAGGGTCTAGGGTTTAGAGTTTCCGGTTTAGGGTTTAGGGTTGAGGGTCTAGAGTTTAGGCTTTCAGGGCTTGGGGGGGTTTGGGGTTTATGGTTCAGGGTTCAGCGCGTTAGAGATGGGCAACCCCCCCCCCCCCCCCCCAGAAACCCTAAACCCTTAAACCCTCGCACCTTAAGTTGTGAGGGTTCAGGGCTGAGGGCTGCGGGCGATGAGGCCCACGTCGTGCAGCAAATCGTCGGCAGCGTCATGGCCCGCTGCGCTGACTACATCCGCGAGGAATTCCGTGGAGTGGGGTTTGGGCTTAGAGTTACCCTAAACCCTAAACCCTGGACGAACCCCAAACCCTGAACCCTGAACCCTAAACCCTAGACCCTAAACCCTAAATTCCTATACCCAAACCCCTATAAATATACCCCAAGTACGATGTAATGCCGTCACAGGGACTCCGAATTACCGGAGCCCCCCCGCAATGCCCAAACTTATAAGCCCTTACCTCCCGCTGTAAACCCTACAACCCTACGACCCTACAACCCTACAACCCTAACCCCGCAGCCCTACAACCCTACAACTCTAAAACCGTGCTGGGTGAACAGCAAGTCCTCACGGAGGATATGTCTGTGCCACTCATGACCCTTCTGCGTGCAGGACTCTGCAAGAAGATGCAGTTCTAGGAGCAAGAGTTCGATGTCTTGTTGCAGCTGGTGAAGCAAGACGCCTTTACTACAACAGCGAAAGTTCTCGCCAGACATCAACAGACCCCAAATAGCCCAATATTGCTTAATTAGGGAATTCCTTAAATCTTAATATGATTTAAGGAATATTCCTTAATTAAGCAATATATGGCTCTTTGGGGCCTTGAAGAACAGAACGGTCAAAAAGCAGGAGGCGCCGGTTGGGAAGCCGAGCAGGCCAAGGACACCTAGAGAGATTGTCATTGTTTCTGTGCATAGTTTCACCTTTTCCGGAACTTCGGTTCCGAAGAGCCTAACCTGGCTAGCGACGCAGTCCGCTTTCGAGAGAAATCGAAACCCTGCGGAACACTATGTGATGTGGATGGAGCCAGGGCAACGTGGTTTTTCCTTTTGGTTGGTCGGTAGTACGTTTTGTTTTGTTTTGTGGAAGATCATGACACTCAGCTGACAGCGAGAGAGTAAAAGTATTTTGGCAGCCAGCTTTTCGAGACACAGAAGCCTTTGAAGTGCATGTCTGCTCGCATTGCTTGTGAGTACTGCAGACTATTTTGCAGTCGTGTGCATGTTGAAGGTTTTTACAGTGACATGAGCCAAATCTGTGTGTGTGAGTTGTTTTGAGCTTGTGGAGATCCTCAGTGATGAGACAGGGTTGTGCTGAGCTTGTGAGAAGCTCTTGGGGCCCTCCAGCACACAGACCTCCGGCTGAACCTTTCACATCTAGGGCCTCCAATATAAGCACAGACCTCCCCTGTACCTACAGCAGTGGGGACCTCTAGCATGGCTGCAAAGCTGCATGTCAACCTCTAGCAGCAACCCTCTCGCATGCAGACCTCTAGACCTCGCAGCAACCTCTCGCAGATACCTCTCGCAGCAACCTCTCCCAGATACCTCTCCCAAAACCTCTCCCAGATACCTCTCGCAGAAGATACCTCTCGACCTCTCGCATATTCCTCTCGCAGAACACCTCTCGCAGATATCTCTCTAACATGTTCCCACGCAGGCCAGGCCCTGCCAGAGGTGTCCGAGGGCTCCAGTGCTGCCGCCGTGCCAGAGGGCTCCAGTGCTGCGGTCAGGAAGTGGTCGCAGAATCGTGGGCCGCACACCACGGGGTCGGTGCCAGCTCCACAGCTCCTGGAGGCCAGAGGCTTGGTTCTCCGAGAGCAGGGCCTCTGTCTGCGGCTCCCGCCGCATTCCGGACTCGAGTCCTGGCGCTACGAGCTCGATGACACGGAGATGCTGGACTTGCGTTACTTCAACCTCCCGGTGCAGGACGCGGCTCCTTGGCCTCAGTGTATCGACGAATATCTTCATGACAAGCGCTCCTACGCCGCATGGAATCTCCTGTCGCAGTACCTCCGCCACTACCTGTGCTCGGGCCTCAGAGTTCAGCCAGAGCGATATTTTGCAAGAGATTCTCGACGGCTTCATGCGCCAGCACTCCCGTGCCCGCCAGACTTCGACCCTTTATCGAGGCTGAAATCTCCCACCGGGCAGCGTGCCGACGTTGTGTGTACGGAAAAGGCGTGCATCTGCCGACATGCAGCTATGCTGGACATTATATTTCCAGAACCCGTTGCGTGACTCGGCAATTATGGGGCAAACTAGGCTCTGTCACCTGTGTGTCAAGTGATTCCAAGCAGGTGTTTGGCAGTGAGGTGCTTCACCCCTGTCTGTTTGTGTTTTCCTTGCGCTGAGGTGCTTCACCCGTGCTCGGAATTAACATTCTACTACTACTATATACTGTGATTGTTATTAATAATAGCTCAGTTTCTTCTTCTTCTTCTTCTTATTTATTATTCTTATTATTATTCTAGAAATAATTCGGGGGTATGACGGCGAGGTGCTTCACCCCTGTCTGTTTGTGTCTGTAGGAATTCCTTGCGCTGAGGTGCTTCACCCGTGCTCGGACTTCAATAAATAATAATAACAATTCGGGTGTGTGACAGTTCACCCCTGTCTGTTTGTGTCGATAGGCATTCCTTGCGCTGAGGTGCTTCACCCGTGCTCGGACTTAAGTAACACTACTAGTACACTATTATTATTGTTATACTATATGGCACGACTTGTCAGGAAAGTCGAAGATGACGGCTGTTGAGTAGCTCAGCCTATATATGGGAATAGTGCTGCAAGTACAGTTGATTTTCTAGAAGAAATTCGCATTCTTCGAATGAGGAAATTTCGGCTCTCAGAAACATCACAGGTCCCGAGTGGACCCGGGAAAATTTTCTTGTGGCCACGGGAATAGCTCCTCTCGGCCTGGGAAGGGAGCGGGGCACTGCAACGAGAGTGGATGGACGTGCGAAGCAGTCAGATGGCTGCGAGACCAGCGCGCGCGAGAGTCCTCGGACTGGTTCCTCAGCTGTCGTTTCAGGAAGCTGCGGATTGGGACATCCAGCTTACGTGAAGAGATCCGAGGTATATGCTCAGTGTCACAACAATGTGCGCTTACCAATTTGGCTCAAGCTAAAGCTCGAGATCATCGGAAAACAGTTCTGTGCAGAGTTGTGAAGATGCGTGGTTATCAGCCGTAGTTGCTGCGGGACTGAGCTGCATTGATCTCGTCTTGGATGTGGCGTGATTTGATAAAGCGCGTCGACATAGATGAGGTGACAAGTGTTGACCGATTTTTAGGACGATGTCACATCTTTCGTGACCGAACGGTGTATATGCACATGCATGAGTATGCACGTCAGGCAGTTGATCTGTGCTTGAGCTTGCCAGGCTCCAAACCCCTGAAGCATGCATGCACACCATATGCCACGGAGGGCTCCCTAACACAGGAGGACTAGTCTTAGCAGACTCGGCCGCATAGTACTAATGAAAGTCCTGTGGCTGTGTCGGCTGTGCCGACCGGATCTTGCTTACTGCAAGCAGAGTTGGTGTCACTTGCTGATGGCCTTTTCACAGAAGCTCTTGCGGTCCAAGATGTCCTGTCAAAGGTCGCAGGGTCTACAATTCCCATTTGCGTGAGAGAAGACAACGAGGCGGTTTTGAAGGTGCTTAGGGCCGGATATTCCGTGAAACTCAGGGGATTGATTCGCACACAGAAGCTGTCGATAGCGATCTCACACCATCTGCGAGAACACGCAGAGGACATCTGGCTAGAGTACACTCGTTCGGAAGATCAGTTCGCTGACATCCTCACTAAGGCGACGGCTCGGCCTCTTTTTGAGGCGTTGTTACACAAGCTTGGCCTTACCAAGGTCCCTCAGTCCATGACTTCCTAGTCATCGTCGTCGTACCGTTAGGCCTGCGCGTCGCGACGCGGCTAGCTGGAAACGCTCTTGACTTGACCTGCGCACCGCGCGGTAGGAAAAGAGCAGCTGAGGATGTGGGGCAGCGGCTGAGGCGCAGTGGCGCGGGCGGCAAGTCTGGGAGCAGCTTCAGAATGAGGGCCGGAAGTGTGTATAGTCTTGTACAGGTACATATTTTTCACCACTGTCTTCCGCCCAGTTGGCTTCCCAGGCTGCGCCGGACTAAAGGCTCTTCCCCGGACCTTTTCTGGGGCAGAGATCCTCCTCGTGGCCAGGGCGAGAGGGGTCGCTACGGCTCTTTGTCCTTGCTGTTCCACTGAGAGGGGGGACGTGAAGAGATCCGAGGTATATGCTCAGTGTCACAACAATGTGCGCTTACCAATTTGGCTCAAGCTAAAGCTCGAGATCATCGGCAAAACAGTTCTGTGCAGAGCTGTGAAGATGCGTAGCTTTGCTATGGCTGCACATGTGGCTGCAGTCCCCTGAAGGCACAAGTTGCTGGTTTCCCTAAAGCCTACACCCTAACCCAAACCCTGAACCCTAAACCCTAAACCCCAAACCCTAAACCCTACTACGACTGCACTCGTGGTTGCATTCCCCTCGAGGCAAGCGGCTGGTTTTTACTCAAGAATCCGCGTTCTTAGTGTTGCGCTCGCTGCAGTGAGTTTTGGACGGAGCCCACCCACCCACACACACACACACACCCACACACACACACACACCCACACACACACACACCCACACCCACACCCACACTCACACCCACACACACACACAGAGCGCGCGCACACACACACACACACACAACTTATGATCCTTTTTGGGGTCCCTAAACATTACGTGCCGTATTGTAATAGGGACCCAAAAAGGGACCATAATTTTGACAGCCACCCATATACAACCCTACAACCCTACATCCCTGCAACACAAACTCCCTACAAAGAAAGCCTAAAACCGAACAAGCCCTCATAACCCTAATAGCCTAACAGCCCCAAAACCCTAATTCCTAAACCCGAATTGCCCTGGGCCCTGGTAGCCCTAAACCCTAAACCCTAAACCCTAAACCCTAAACCCTAAACCCTAAACCCTAAACCCTAAACCCTAAACCCTAAACCCTAAACCCTAAACCCTAAACCCTAAACCCCTAAACACTAAGCCTTAAGCCCTAAGCCTTAAACCCTAAGCCCTAAACCCTAAACCCTAAACCCCTAAACACTAAGCCTTAAGCCCTAAGCCTTAAACCCCAGCTCCACAAAGCAGGACCTCGGCATGAACCTGGTGGCCGAGCCCCAGGGCCGGTGTCCTCATGGGGTCTTCGCAGGGCTGGAGGGTAGGGTTTAGGGTTTAGAGTTTAGGGTTTAGGGTTTAGGGTTTAGGATCTAGGGTCTAGGGTTTAGGGTTTAGGGTTTGGGCTTTAGTTTTTTATGGCTTTGGGGTGTAGGGTTTTAGGTTTAGGGTTCAGGGTTTTGGGGTTTAGGGTTTATAGGGTTCAGGGCTTTGGCATTTTAGGATTGAGGGTTTTAGGGTTTCGGGGTTTAGTAAAGTTTAGCGTTTTGGGGTTTTAGGGTTGAGGGTGTTTGGGTTTCAGGGTTTTCAGGGCTGTAGGGGTTTTGGGTTATAGGGTTATTGGGGTCATTAGGGTTATAAGTGTTTTTAGGGCTTTTTTTGGGTTATCAAGGCTGTAGGGTTTTAGGGTTTTAGGGTTTTCGGGTGTTAGGGTTTAGGTTGAGTGGTGAGCTTTGCAAACTTTAGGATTAAAGGGTTGAAGGTTTCGAGTTTGAGGGTTTGAAGGTTGAGGATTTCAGGTTTTCGAGTTGAAGTTTTGTCACAAGTCTGAACCCGTAGCCCTGTTTTCTGTCAGGTGTGCCCTACCCTCTGAACCCTAAAACCCCATCGATTCCTCCCTATCCTGAACTCTTCGCCACGCCTCAGTGACTCAGCCCTACAAACCCTAAAACCTATAAACCTACGAACCCACATTAAGCTACTAAATCCCTGAATCCGAAAACCCCAGACCCCAAACCCAACCCCAAACCCCAAACCCGAACCCCAAACCCCAAACCCTAAACCCTAAACCGTAAACCGTAAACCGTAAACCGTAAACCCTGAACCCTGAACCCTAAACCCTAAACCCTAAACACCGAACCCTAGGCAGCCCGGCGTGCCTCCCGTGCTACTCCTGCAAGATGCCGAAAGGGTGCGGTTCTCAAAGCTTTGGCTGGGTTTAGGCTTTAGGGTTTAGGGTTTCGGGTTTCGGGTTTCGGGTTTCGGGTTTAGGGTTTAGGTTTAGGGCTTAGGGTTTAGGGATGAGGGTTTAAGGTTTAGGGTTTCGGGTTTCGGGTTTCGGGTTTAGAGTTTAGGGTTTAGGGTTTAGGGTGTAGCACGGGTCAGCTGAACGCAATAGTGGGAAGACATGCCCACCCCAAGGCCACCCAATCACAACTCACTGCGAAACCAAACCGGAGCCAGCCCAAACCAAGCCAACCATTCACGACTCACACGTCGAATATTTTCATTAATGTTGACTTCGCATTAATCAACCCCCCCCCCTTCATTGATCAATCTCTCCGGCCAGGGCCTCCTCAATAATATTCGCCTAAATCCTGGTAGGACGTAGTATTAGTTTTAGTATTAGGTAGTAGCACCACGCCCGTAAAAAAGAAATATTCCGGGCCTGATTTTATAATTGTGGCGGGCTACATTATTGTGTTCTGGCAGCTGGATTTTATAATTGCGGCGGGAATTCCTAATGTGAAGTCAACATTACAGGACACTAAAGTTTCTTCGGACTTCGAATGGTTGGGAAAGATCTCGAAGACGACCAAGCTCCAGCAGGCAGTCTAAGCCTTCAATCCTGGGTCACTTAGAACTTTGGGCCACCCCTTTAGGTTTTTGCGAAGGGGACGGTCTGGGCCGAAGGGCCTTCTCGTGGGGAACTCAGGCGTGAGTAGGTTGCAAGTTGAGGGTCACTTGGGGCCACAAGGTTGTTGCGAAGGGGACGGTCTGGGCCGAAGGGCCCTCTCATAGAAAATTCAGGCGTGAAAAGGTTGCAGCTTGGGGCTCACTTGGGGCCAAGACAAAGGGTACCCCTTCAGGTTGTTGCGAAGGGGACGGTCTGAACCGAAAACCCCCTCAGACAAAACTCAAGCGTGAATAGGTTGCGCAAAGGATACCCCTTCAGGGCCCCCTGCTTACTGCAAAGGTTAAAGGCCCCCTGCTTACTGGAGGGTTTAGGGTCCCACCTACTGGAAGGCTGGGAGGGTTTAAGGCTCGTGCTTAGATGGTTTAAGCCTCCGTTGCTGCTGGGAGGGTTCAAGGCCCCCCCCCGCTTACTGGGAGGGTTTAAGGTCCCCCTGCCTACGTTTAGGCCCTGCTTACTGGGTGGTCGCGGCATTGCCGACATTCGTCACAGGGGAGCCCCTGCTGAGACGCCCCAGGACTTTCAGGCCCGCCAAAAACCCTGCCCCAAGGGGTCCTCCCAGGGTTTCCAAGGCTTCTCAGGTGTTTTTAAAGGCAAAAAATTTTCGGCAGGGATACAACCCCTCAAGGGTGCGGTGGGCAGGCTCTGCAGCTCAAGCAGAGCCTGCCATGGTCTCGCTGAGCGCTCGACTGCGCCCGCCTACCCAACAGAGGTGAGAGGGGTGGCGAGCGGGCTTAGGGTTTAGGGATGAGGGTTTAGGGTTTCGGGATGGGTTTAGGGTCTAGGTTTTAGGGTTCAAGCTTTTTTTGGGCTTAGGGTTTAGGGTCCAAGGACTGAGTTCCTCCGACTCCATAGGTCTTGGACGCGAAGCGTCGGTTGTACCCTGTTTAATCCTCGGTTACTGGGCAACCTAGCCACCTCTAGAGCGCTGAACCCTGTTTCCCTACTACTGCTGTAGCACCCAAAGCCGTAAACCCCAACCGCCCTTGATCCTCGGGTTCGGCTCCCAAAGCCCGAAGCTCTAAACCCCCCACTCCCCTGCTGCCAGGTGGATTTTCTCGGACCTGGCCGTGCGCACCTCAGTTCAGAACTCGTTTGGGTCAAAATGCTAGAGGGCTTTAGGGGCAGGTTTATGAAGCGTAAAGGCTTTCTCATGGGATGATGAGTTTTTTCTGAACCCAATAGTCTACTGAATTCCCCTGAAATTGACGAAGTAGTTAGGATGTCTAGGGTGTAGGGCTTAAGGTTGAGGATTGGTTTCTTGGATCGCAATTGAGTTTCGGGTTACAGGGTTTAGGTTTTTACGGGCCTACAGCTTCCATGCACTGCAACCATGGGTCGAAGACTGTGGCTGATTCTCAGGTGCCCTGTACCCTAAACCCTAAAGCCTAAACCCTGAACCCTGAACCCTGAACCCCTAAACCATAAAGCTCCCCATGTTTCCCAGCTCCGAATCCTTAGCCAACGCCCTGCCGTCTCCTACCCCCCCAATCATGTCATAATCATCAAACGGGCTGTTTATGTGTAGGTGAGTGTGTGTATAGGATGGGTGTCCTTTTTGGGGATACTGGCAAGAAAAACCTACTTCACATCTGCACACCCCTCACATCAGCGAAGGCCCGGCTAGCTCCATCTTGCGTGAATGAGTTTTTCACTTTACACTTTTTGGATACTCTAACCCCTTCCGGAACTGAAAGTGTACACTGTTTTGGGGCTTATGAACTCAGGAACTAAGTCAAAACACACACCCACACACACACACAAAGACCTAAACCCTAACGCACAGACCCAGTCCGGCCGCCTCAATTTGGAGAGGTTGGCGCCCTGAAGGACTACCGGGAGAAGTTTCCAGGACTTTTCGAGGCTGGCTCCATGGGCTCAAAAGCTTTAGGGCTTAGTGGCTTACCCCAAACCCTAAACCCTGAACCCTAACCCTGAACCCTAACCCTAAACCCTAAACCCTAAACCCTAAGCCCTAAACCCTAAACCCTAAACCCTAAACCCTAAACCCTAAACCCTAAACCCTAAACCCTAAACCCTAAACCCTAAACCCTACGTTTGTGACGCGGCTTGTTAGCTACTTCTATGAAATCCTGGAAATGATTTATTTCCGAAAACAATGCGAATAAAATGTAATCCAAAAAGCGAAAAAAAAGCCCCACTACTCAAAATATGCAAAAACAATGACAAAAAAAAGACCCTTAAAAAACACAAAAAATGACTCTAAAAAAGCAAGAAAAATGTGTGCTTTTGGTTTGTTTGTTTTCGTTGTTTGTGGCTGCTGGGTCGCTTTTTGGGTCGCTTTTTATTCGCTGATTTTTCTTTTTTTTCGCTTTTTTCCTAGGAAAAAAGCGGAAAAAACAAGCGAAAAAAAGCGACCCAAAAAGCGACGTTTTGCCTTTTTCGCTGCATTATCGCTTTTTGGTCGCTTCTTGGGTCGCTTTTTTTCCGCTTTTTTTTCGCTTTTTTTCCGCTTTTTTCCTAGGAAAAAAGCAAAAAAAACGAATGAAAAGCGACCCAAAAAGCGACCCAAAAAGCGATAATGCGGCGAAAAAAGCAAAACAAAAGCGAAACAATTGTATCCCCTTTTCTGAACCCATTATTTTCGCTTTTTCGGTGTCATTTTTTTCGCATTTTAAAAAAAATCGATTCGGTTTCTTTTCGGAAAATAAATCATGTAGCCAAAACCTTAGAAGTAGCTCTAAGCCGCATCACAACCCTACGTCGTCATTGAGGTGTTTTTGGGGGGGGATTTGGGGTTCCTTAGGGTGGCGGGTGCGGCCAGGCGCTCAGAAGTCGCCGGGGCACGAACACCAGGCAAGTCAAGGACGGGGGTTTTAGGGGTTCGCGGTTTAGGGTTTAGGGTTTAGGGTTTAGGGTTTAGGGTTTAGGGTTTAGGGTTTAGGGTTTAGGGGTATAGGGGTTTAGGGTTTAGGGTTTAGGGGTTTAGGGGTTTAGGGGTTTAGGGGTTTAGGGGTTTAGGGGTTTAGGGTTTAGGGGTATAGGGGTATAGGGGTTTAGGGTGTAGGTTTTAGGGGTTCAGGGTGCAGGGATTTGGGGCTCGGGGTGCAGGGGTTCGGGGTGCAGGGGTTTAGGGTTGGGGTTTAGGGGTTCAGGGTTTAGGGGTTTAGGGGTTTAGGAGTTTAGGGGTTCAGGGGTTAGGGGTGTAGGGGTTCAGGGTTCATGGGTTTAGGGTTTTAGGGGTTTAGGGGTTTAGCGGTTTAGCGGTTTAGGGGTTTAGGGGTTTAGGGGTTTAGGGGTTTAGGGGTTTAGGGGTTTAGGGGTTTAGGGTGTTTGGGGGTTTTGGGGTCTAGGGGTTTAGGGTGTTTGGGGGTTTTGGGGTCTCGGGGTTTAGGGGTTTAGGGGTTTAAGGGTTTCGGGGTTTAAGGGTTTAGGGGTTTGGGGTTCAGGGTTTAGGGCATTAGGAGTTAGGATGTTTGTGTTCGGAGCTTGGCCACTAAACGGTTGTCACCCCGTGCTAATGGGCACCTGCACCCCAGATTAGCCCTACCTACATGTAAGCTTCGGTAGGCACTTGGGATATAATTATAGGGTTTAGGGGTTTAGGGTTCGGGTTTGGGGGTTTAGGGTTGAGGGTTCAGGGTTTAGGGTTGAGGGAGGCTCTTGGGATGTGTTTTCATTGCTCGTTTTTGTATAGGAGATCACCAAACAAGAATATCTTTCAGAGGGTTTCAGGGGCCAGCCTGCAGCCCTAAACCCCAAATGGTAGGGTTCAGAGTTTCGGAGGTACGCCTAGAAGGGACCCTCAAAGTTGTTCGCCTATCACGGGCACTCTGATGGGGACGTAGGAAATGGGGGCGTGGGCAGTTGGAACCATACACGGCATATAAACTTACTTCTCCAACAGCTGAACTTTAAACTTTTTGGGGTTTCCTTATTTAGTAGGAATAATAAAGTTTAACCTTTTTTTTCCCTTGGTTGTAGGAGAAGTAAGTAAAGGGTGGTGTGGTGGGCATGTCACGACTTCGGCCGTGGAAAGGAGCCCGAGGGCTCCCCCGGCGAGGAGAAGCTCATGGGCCTCTCATTATCAGTCACAGGGGGTTTAGGGTTTAGGGTTTAGGGTTTAGGGTTTAGGGTTTAGGGTACGTTGCATCACTTTGGTTCAATCTCATGTATTCTGCACTGGAGATCGGCAACTTCATGGTCGCGGTTCCGGAGGTGTGGTGGCAGAACCTTCCGGTCGCGGCGCCTGGAGCCTATGTGCTTCCCCAGCACGCAAAGCATGCAAACTAGATGGCCTAAGGAAGCAGAAAGTGAGCGCGCCCATGCAGGAGCAGTGCCGTGACCGTGGTGTAGGCCCGGGAACATTCAACTGTTTCCGACCAGCATGGATGCCACGGAAGGTGCGCAGCGGGAACGTGTTGCCTTTCGTGCCATCGCATTGGGCGAGCGCGGTGTGAACCTCTTGCATCTCCATTCCAACTCAGATGAGAGTCGTTTGTTTATCGCCATTCTTTCCTTTGGCCAGGTCTTTTTTGATTTGAGGAGGCTAGGAGTGGAGAGCTGTCGGCCTCAAAAAGTTTTAGAATTGAAGAGTGTGGGCCTCGTCTTAGGGCTTTTTGTGATCTTGCTTTCGTTTCGGGTTCACTCACACATGTCCTTCATGCCAAGCCTCATCCTCAACCCTGATGAACCCTGAGTCTTAGGACTAGGCAAGGGGTCAGAAACTTTTGGCCCGAAAAAATGTTGAGATTTGAGCACCAGTATCTTAGGCTCTTCGTGAAAGAGTCTGAAGACTCAAGCAGCAATGCCCGAAGCCCTTATGCCCTTAGCCTTAGAATCCTCAGGTCTAAACACCAGAGGCCTAGACATTTAACCCTAAAGTCTTAAGACATAAACACCAAAGCCGTAAGCTCTTAACCCTAAGATCGTATAAAATGCCAAGACCCGAAGCCCTTTGCCCTGAAACCTCAGGGCTTAAACACTAAGTGCAAAGACCACAACCCTAAAGTCGTGAGGCTTGCGCGCCAGAAACTTCAGCCCTGAACCAACCCTTTCAAACTTCAACTTTCGAACTCTGTGCCGTTCGTCGATGCCATTCTTCAAATTTCGGAACTGTCAAATTTCAAAGTAGCAATGGTGTTTCATCGCTTCAAACTCTCAAAGGTTCAAAGCTTTACAAAAGGTACTCGTGACTCCTATCTTTCTTAAGCCCCTACTTGCATCTCCTTAAGTCTATATTTCCCCAACATATACCTGGTCTAGTCCCTACATACCTAAGTAGCCCCTCCAGTACCCCGAAGGTCCCTTATAGCTACTATTTGCTTCAGAAACCCCACCGAAATATGCAAACATGTTCTTCCTTTTTTGGGTTGCCGGTTCAGGATTTGGATTCAAGCCTTAAGCCCGAAACCAACTCCCAAGCCCAAGCCTTAAACGGAACCCTGAAACCCGGAAGCCCTAAAGCCTACTTGGAGGTTCATGGGTACTTATAAGTAGAGTTATACGTACCCTAAGCAAGGTTATAACCGTGGTTACCCTACTTCCAACAGTACTTACCCAAAGAGCCCAATATTGCTTAATTAAGGAATATACCTTAAATCACATTAAGGATCCCTATATGATTTAAAGAATATTCCTTAATTAAGCAATATTGGGCTCTTTGGGTAGACGTACCCATGAAGCTCTTCAAGTAGCAGGACCTGGAGCAGAGAGCCATCTTCCCCGACCGCCTCTCTCTCAGCTCTCTCCGGTGAAGCCCTAAATCTTACATTTAAACCCTAGACAGCCCTAAACCCTAAACCCGAATTCAGGGCAGAGAATTCTGGGTCTGGGGGAGCGCAGCCCTAAACACCGTAGAGGAGCGGAGATCTACGACTTTTTCTTTTGCATAGCTTCCCGATGTACCCTACGTGTGGCCCGTATGACCGCTTCTTCGAGCCCCTGAATCGACTCTTCCGCAGCTTATCAAAAGCAGCATTATGTCTTATCAACCTGCGTCTTAGGAGTGTATTGGAATTTCGCTCGAGGAGCGTCTGGCCCATTTAATGACGTGGAGGCAAAAGCCATACTAAATAGGCCTTCTACCCTAAACCCTAAACCCTAAACCCTAAACCCTAAACCCTAAACCCTAAACCCTAAACCCTCAAGCCCGCGAACCCTAAACACTCTTCGGGTGGGGGGTTCTGGAACCAGGTGCCGAGCCCTCGAAACCCCTGATCCTCCCTGCATGCCATCGAAACCCTAGCCCTAAACCCTAAACCCTAGCCCTAAACCCTAAGCCCTGGCCCTAAACCCCAAACCCCAAACCCTAAACCCCAAATCCCAAGCCCTAAACCCTAAACCCTAAACCCTAAACCCTAAACCCTAAACCCTAAACCCTAAACCTTAAACCCCCAAAACGCTTAGATTTAGGTGCCCCAAAGCTTGTGCCATCAACGGAAGCGCAACGTAAGCCCCTAGGCGCGGACAAGGACTACTGCTCCAGGTCGGGGCAGTGCCAGTTGAGGGTTTTGGGTGTAAGGGTTTAAGGGTTTAGGGCGGTTTAGGGTTTAGGGTTTAGGGGTAAGCTGCTCCGAAAGCTATAAAGCTATTTGCATGATTTAGAGTTGAGGGTTTAGGGTTCAGGGTTTAGGGTTTAGGGTTTGGGGTATAGGATTCGTGTAGATGAGTGAGGATGATGCACTTTCAATTTCACTTCTGGTGAACTCCAAACCCAAACCCTTCAGTTTAGGCACGTCGCAGTGCTGAAACCCTGAAGCCTAAACCCTAAACCCTAAACCCTAAACCCTAAACCCTAAACCCTAAACCCTAAACCCTAAACCCTAAACCCTAAACCCTAAACCCTAAACCCTAAACCCTGGGACCCTAAACCCTAAACCCTAAACCCTAAACCCTAAACCTCCAAGCCGGTCTCGGCGTTCTCTGCAAAGCTCATGGATGGATCCCAGAGCCCCTCAGCCAAGTTTCGGGTTCAGGGTTTAGGGTTGAGGGTTTAGGGTTTAGGGTCTAGGGGGGTCTAACCCCTCAGAACCCGCCAGGCAGCTGGTGAAGTACTGCAACTCGTGCGAGTGGAAAAAGCTGCCTGGCTGCACCGGATATTGTGGAGATTTGGAGACTTGTGAGGCTCAGGCTTTGTTTATTGCTTCTGTCTGGCTGCCTTGGCTCGTTAGTTTTGGATATTACGTACTTTAGGGTTTAGGGTTTAGGGTTTAGGGTGAACGTAAGCCCTAAACCCCAGGCCCTCAAAGCACCAAGCCCCCAAGCAGCCCCCAAACCTTGAACCCCTAAACCCCATTAATAACTAAACTCTGTTAAACCCGAAGCCCTCTGTAACCCTAAACCATAAACCCCAAACCCCAAACCCTAAACCCTAAAAGGGCTGAGTCTCGCTCTCTTGGTACCAAAACAGGCATGTTTTTTCAGGACAAACTTGAAAACCCTAAACCCCAAACCCTAAGCCCTCTGTAACCCTAAACCCTAAGCCCTAAACCCCAAACCCCAAACCCTAAACCCCAAACCCTAAACCCTAAACCCCAAAAAGGGCTGAGTCTTGCACTCTCAGCGCCGAGGCTAAAGCTTGCGCCGACTCAGTACATGGCCATGACCACGCAGAGCGTGTCGCAGGCGCGATGTAGGGTTTTAGGGTTTAGGGTTTAGGGTTTAGGGTTTAGGGTTTAGGGTTTAAGGTTTGGTCTAAGGGCTTATCGTTTCGGGTTTAGGGTGTTGCCCCTTTTTCCATTTCTTTTGGGGCCGAAGTGGCTCCTCTAAGCTCTAGCCCGCCAAGAAAGGGGGCACTGCCCTCAGAGCCGCTTCATTCACGCTGATGATCTCGACACTGGCGCTACTAGTATAAGACTAAGCAACCCTAAACCCTAAACCCTAAACCCTAAACCCTAAACCCTGGGGGTTAGGGTTTAGGGTTTTGGTGTGCCCCTGAAAAGAGGCACCACAACTTGAAAAAGCCTTAGACATGTACAACTTCGGAGCATGTTGGCTGCGGGGAACCTAGATGAGCTCAATTTCTATCCCAAAGTGTTCCCGAACCCTAAACCCTCAATCCCCCAGCCTTTCGCCGACGATGCATGCTGCCTGCCCGTGTCATCACGTTTAACAGCACAGTCACAATTAGTCCTTCTGGGCTCTGTCATGTGCGCTTTGAGGGCTCTCGAATCCGGAGCATTGTTGGCTTCGAACGTACTCTTGACCCAGAGCTTCTCCTCTTACTTTCTTGCTAATGGCGCGCTCCACGAGGAAGGTCACCGCTTGCGTTGTTGTGGCTGCGTTGCTGGCATGCGGCCTCTCCAGCTCCGGATTCGTGCCAGGGCCGCTTCGCAGGGCAGCTGCCCCGGTGGCAGCTGCGTCCGCAGCCGGCATGATGATGGCTCCGGCTGCTTTCGCCGACGAGATTGGTGATGCAGCAAAGAAGCTTGGTGATGCTTCCTATGACTTCGCGAAGGAAGTGGACTGGAACAACGGCATCTTCTTGCAAGCTCCTGGCAAGTTCCAGCCTCTCAAAGCCCTGAAGGCGATTGACAAGATGATTGACATGGGAGCAGCAGCAGACCCCAAGCTTTTGAAGGCAGCGGCGGAGGCCCATCACAAGGCCATCGGAAGCATCTCAGGTGCCAACGGTGTCACTTCTCGGGCGGATTGGGACGCGGTTAACGCAGCTCTGGGCCGCGTTGTGGCATCGGTCCCCAAGGCAAAGGTGATGGACGTCTACAATGCCGTGAAGGACATCACTGACCCTAAGGTGCCCGCGTACATGAAGTCTTTGGTCAATGGTGCAGATGCCGAGAAAGCATACAAGGGCTTCTTGGAGTTCAAGGATGTGGTGGAGAAGAGCATTGGAGCTGATTCAGATCTAATTTTTCTCAGAACTCCCACATCGTTCATCGTTCTGTATCTGCAGCGCTTCTATACCTAGCGCCCTTCTCAAAATAAATTCCTCAGGGTTTAGGCTTTATAGGATTTAGGGTTAATTATAAAATCCTCCAAGCAAAATCCAAGGAACCAAGTGGCTGCAGTTGGCGCCAAGGCCACGGTGCCCACCGGGGACAAGATTGGCGCGGCGGCGAAGGCCCTTTCGGATGCGTCTTACCCCTTCCTGAAAGAGGTGCAGGATTGCAAAGAGCGGTTGGGGTCGATAGCCTTGCTATTTCTGAATTTTTCCTGGAGATAAAGCAGAAGCCTCGTTTAGTTCCCATGCCACATCGAATCGCGTTTGCAATGCGTTTCCTTGCCCGAGCATGCAGGTTTGTTTGTGTGCGTGTGTGTGTGTGTGTTCCCTCAGGTGGACTGGCTGTCCGATGTTTACCTGAAGCCGCTGCCCGACACCACCGCCCCGAAGGTGATGAAAGCCATTGACAAGATGATCGTGATGGGCAGCCAGATGGACGGCAACCTGTTGAAGGCTGCCGCCGAAGCGCACCACAAGGCCATTGGCAGCGTCGACGCCAAGGGAGTGACGACTGCTGCGGATTACGAGGCAGTGAACGCAGCCATCGGGCGCATCGTCGCATCAGTGCCAAAGGCAACGGTGATGGATGTGTACAACTCCATGGCCGGAATTGTGGATGGATCCATTCCCAACAACATGTTCTCCAAGGTGAACCCTCTTGATGCAGCTGCCGCTGCAAAAGGTTTCTACACCTTCAAGGATGTGGTGGCAGCGTCGCAGCGCTGATGAGAGTTGTTGGCCGCGCGCTCCGACGTCGAATTGTCGGACCCGTTGAGGGCCACAACTTTATGTAGTCGGTGCCAACTTACTTTTTACAGCTGTACAGTGCAGAAGAATGGCGAGAGTCGTTAGCGATCGACGACGATGTTGTGCCTTGAAACAGTGCTATACGGGCTTGAGAGTGGCAGGCGCGGGGTTCAGAGCTTCTTCTTGCCTTGCAGTGAAGGAAGGAGGGTGATACATGCCGGCGGGTATTTTGCTCTGTCTGCTTTGGCGGCTGACTAGGTAGAAGGAACCCCAATCGCGTTCAGAGTTCAGAGACCCAAAACCTTAAACCCTAAACAGCCCAAACCCTAAACCTTAAACCCTAAACCCTAAACCCCAGAAATTCAAGGCCTGAAGTGCTCCGGCTACAGACCCTAAGCCTCTAAACCGGAAGCCCAAAACCCTCAGCCCTAGACCTACAAGCCCTAAACCTCCCAACCCTCAGCCCTTAACCCTGAATACCCTGAACCCTTGACGCCCCCAAAATTCCTGAAGCCAAATTCCAGCAATAAACCCTGAACCCGAAACCCTAAACCCTAAACCCTAAACCCTACACCCTAAACCTTCGGTGGGCAGGTCGCATGGTCTGTGGACGAGGCTCTGAAACGCCGCCAGCAGAAGGACATGGAGCCATTTGGGTTTAGGGTTTTAGGGTTTTAGGGTTTAGGGTTTATAGGGTTTATGGTTTTTTCGGGTTTTAGGGGTTGTAGGTATGGGGTGTATACGGTTTGCTTTTGGGGTATTTAGGGGTATTTGGGGTATTTAGGGTATTTAGGGTATTCGTCTTTAGGGTATGTGGGGCCCGGCGGTGTTTTTGCTGGAAACGATGTAGAAAGTCTTACAGGTCTTGGCCCGAAGCCCTAAACCCTAAACCCTAAACCCTAAACCCTTTGTAAACCCATGGAAGCTTAATGCTAATAGGGCCCCCTCATCTTCTCCAACTGATTGATGTGTAGGGTATTCATGGTATTCAAGGCATTCAGGCTGCGCAGGTTATGTGGGGCTTCGGGTCCCATTGCAGATCCCGGCCCAGCAATCAAGATCGTGGATGATGCACCCGGTTACCTTCACGACTTCCACATGGGATACAGGTTCTTCGGGGTGGAGGATCCGGACTTGGAGAACTGTGCTGAGAACGTCCCAGACTTTCGTTTAACATTGCCCTGCGCACCCTGACGCAGCAAACATGTTCTACTCCACGATCGACCTGAACTTCAGCAACATGCCCGCCGGGTCAGTGGTCATGTTTCCGGACATCGGGCGCCAGGAGGGCGACTGGGCTCTGGACCACGGCCCGTCGAGGGCCGATGGCACCAACCTAGGGACCGAGTATCCCATGATCGCCATCGTTAGGGTTTAGGGTTTAGGGTTTAGGGTTTAGGGTTTAGGGTTTAGGGTTTAGGGTTTCCTGACAATGCCGCAATGCTCGAATCGAAGGAGTTCTGATTGACGACCGCCTGCCCTTACCATGTACTCCTTGTCGAATTCTTTAGGGACCTTCAGGGGCGGCAACTCTGGCCCCTACTACCTATACCCTAAAGCCTCAAGCCTCAACCCCGATCATACAGGATTTGAAGGAGGAGGTCGTGAAAGGCCGCCGCAGGTGTTGCGAGGCTTCGGCAGACCCCAAGAGCCCCCAGAAAATATACGGATCGTCATATGGTTTCGGTCAAGACTTTCGTTCAAGACTGTCGTTTCAACACTGTTTGGGGTCCCAGCCCCAAAGAAATTCGATGCACCCGAACCCGTACACAAAGCGTATTAAACTCTAAACCCGAAACCCCCGCCAACTCTCAACCCAGAAGCCCTAAACCCTAAACCGCCTAAACCCTAAACCCAGAAGCCCTAAACCCTAAACCCTGAACCCAAAACCCTGCAGGACGAGACCATTGCCGGCGCTGACTCGCTGTGCCGAACGGAGGACTCCGCGAGTTCCAGGTCAGGGTTTAGGGTTTAGGGTTTGGGGTTTGGGGTTTAGGGTTTTAGAGGGTTTAGACACCTAAGCTCCAAGCCTGAACCCTGTAAGCCCTATGTCCTAACCCCAATAAGTTGTAAACTCTGAGCCCTCACTCCTACACCCTGACTCCTTAATCTCCAACACCCGGTCTAGGCTTCGGGGTTGAGGGTTCAGGGTTGTGGACTCCAGCCTGCACAGCGGCGGATGAGGTCCTCAACTCTCAATCCGCGTCTCTCTCATGCGAACGTTTAAGTCCTACATCCATGCTGGCTTACGAAAACAGACCCTAAACCCTAACACTGAACACTGAACCCGAAACCCGAAACCCTAAACCCTAAACGCCTAAACCCTCAACCCTCAACCCTCAACCCTAAACCCTAAACGCTCAACCCTAAACCTAAACCTAAGCTGCTCCGGAGATCCTACATCCCGAGTATACAGCTTAAATCCCAAGGAGCCTAAGATGTCTTACCCTGAGTGCTACGAGCATGCCCAGTAGTACCCATTTCTGTATCTTTTTTGGGGCGCGGGGGGGGGAGGGGAGTAGGGTTTAGGGTTTAAGGTTTAGGGTTTAGGGTTCAGGGTTCAGGGTTCAGGGTTCAGGGTTAGGGGGGGAGGTTCCCCGAAAAGGCCCTTTAGGCCAAACAGCGCACCCCTTCTTTAAATCCGAGGTCACTGAACCGAAGACCTAAACCCGAGACCCTAGACCCTAAACCCTGAACCCTTAAACCCTAAATCCCAAGCCTGCCTTGCAGAGGAGACATTCCAGGTCCCCTCGCTCTTCTTGGCTGGCGGCGAGGCGCGCGACATTCAGGGTTTTTAGGGGTTTCGGGGTTTTTTGGGTTTGGGGCCTAGGGTTTTGCGACTCAAAGGCTTTAGGGCTTTTAGGGGTTTAGGGATTTAGGGCTCTAGGGTTTAGGGTTTCAGGGTTTTAGGGTTTTAGGGATTTAGGGATTTGGGGTTTAGGGTGTAGGGGTGTAAGGGTATATTTAGTGTAGGGTTGAGGATTTGCTGTAGGGCGGGTTTAGAGTTCAAGGGTTTCAAGTTGTACCGTTTAGGGCTTCGGCTTGAGGCTTTAGGGGTTTCGAGGGCGCGAAACCTCGCAAACCCTAAGGATGTACCGCAGGAAGGGTTCAAGGTTTAGGGTGTAGGGTTTAGGGGCCCTAAACCCTAAGCCCTCAGCCCTCAACCCTATTCTGCGCCCAGACAGGGGGGGGGACTTTCGAAAAGAGTTCCCCAACCCAAAAACACCTCCGGACCACAGTTCAATCTCTGGAGGTTTAATCTGGGTTTAGGGTTTAGGTAGGGCTTAGGGTTTAGGGTTTGGGGTTTAGGGTTTAGGGCTTAGGGCTTAGGGTTTAGGGTTTAGGGTTTAGGGCAGAAGCCCCAAACCCCTACACCCTGAACCCTAGCCCTAGAGGCTTGTAGCATTCTCCCCAAGAGCCTGAACCCACATCCCTAAACTACACCAGTCGGGTTCCGAGGAACTTATGGTGGGCCAGCGGGGCGTCTACATCAGTCCGTGCTTTGCCTCAGGGTGAGGATTTAGGGTTTGGGGCATGGGCTTTGGGGGATTATATAGACCCCTTGGGAGGATCCAAAAAGTAGAGTTCCAAGGGCTGCCCTCTAGTAGTCTTGGGTCGTTCTTAGGAACCTCCCTGGGTAGTGTTTAGGGTTTAGGGAGGCGGTTAGGGCTTAGGGGCTACTTAGGGTTGAGGGGGAGTTCAGGTTTGGGTGTGTGTGTGTGTGTGTGCCTAAGTACCTGTGCTTGAGAAAGGCTATGCCCTGCAAGTAGAGGCTTTTAAACCTTAAGCCCATTCACAATGCTCTCTATGCCGCTGCGTCTGGGCCGTTTGGTGTTTAGGGTTTCCCCGATCCCTCAGTCCCCGACTCTCGAATAAGACCCCGGCAACACATAACCCCCCCAAAAACCCCAACCTGAAACCCCAAGCCCTGAACCAGAACCCGCCCTTAACCCTAAACCCCCCAAAGCTCTTCGCCATCTGAAGCCCCTAAGACCTAAACCCTAAACCAAAACCCCGCCAAAGCCCGAAAAGCCTAGACACCTCAAACACAAATACTAAACCCCCAAAGCCAAAGCCCCACGGCCCAACAGACAAAGCCCCCAAAGCAAGCCAAAACCAAACAACAAAGCCCCTAAGCCTAAAGTCCTGCACCCGAACCCCTAAGCCCTAAGCCCTAAGCCCCTGGAGACTGCCAACAAAGACCTAAACAAGCTACACTTACACCCCTAAACCCCCTAAACCCTCAAACCCTAAAGTGCTATACCCAAACCCCCACACCCCTTAGAAAGCTCGCCACAAAAAGAGAAGCGGCGAAGAAATCCAAGAGCCCAGCCCAAATAAACAATAGCCCAAACAAGTTCTCGAAAACCCTAAACCCTACACCCTAAACCCAAAGCCCCAAACCTATGTCCAAAGATCGGCCGTCTCGAGGCTTGGTGCCGTTCCCTGCGGTGTCCAGGGCACCGTCATTGGCGCCGCACTGGCATCTTAGCTTTCTCTGACTTAGGACTTAGGGTTTAGGGTCTAGGGTTTAGGGTGTTCAGGGTTTGGGTTTTAGGGTTTGGGGGGTTTTGGGGTTTGCGGTTTAGGGCTTATGTTTCAGTGTGTTGTTTTTAGGTTTTTGTGTGCTCAGGGGTGTTTAGAGTGTTTGGGGTGGGTTTAGGGTTTAGGGTTAGCTTTAAAAGTCCGGGACGCCTACCCTGTGCGCGTGGTGGCCGTGATGGCCAAATGGGGTTGTTGTAACTCAAGGTCCCTTTTCAGAGTGTTTGTTTCTAAGTTGTTCTATTTGCAAACCCCAAATTACCTACTGAGAACCAGTCATTTTACACCCTAGATATATATAATATATGTATATATATATATACACACCATATGCCCCTAAACCCTAAACCCTAAACCCTCAACCCTAAACCCTATGACGATGCCCGGCGCGGCCAGATCTATGGCGTCGGTGAGACCCAGCAGGTTGAGGTCTTGCTGGACGAGGTGCGAAAGCAATCTGGGTGTCTTGCTCCCTAGGCCCAGAACCGGGGTTTAGGGTTTAGGGTTTAGGGTTTAGGGTTTAGGGGTTAGGGGTTTAGGGTTTAGGGTTTAGAGTTTAGAGTTGAATCATGGGGATCTACCATGGACCCCTAAGGCTGTACTCTTGGGTTCCCCTTTCAAGGATTCTCGAAGGAAATATAAGTGATGAGATTGCTTTCGTGACTCACAGGTGGTCGATGCCAGGAAGCAAGCTGAATCTGACCAGAAGCAGGCGGTACTAAACCCTAAACCCTAAACCCTAAACCCTAAACCCTAAACCCTAGACCCTAGACCCTAGACCCTAAACCCTAGACCCCAGACCCTAGACCCTAGACCCTAGACCCTAGACCCTAGACCCTAGACCCTAGACCCTAGACCCTAGACCTAGACCCTAGACCCTAGACCCTAGACCCTAAACCTGAACCCTCAACCCTAAACCCTAAACCTAAAGCCTCAAGCCTAAACCCTAAACCCTAAACCCAGAGCAAGTTGCAGGAATGCTTTGGTGCAAGCGACCTTCATGGCCGGACGCCACGGCTGCGGGGGCCGGGCCCCCGGGAGTTTTTGGGCCCTAAACCCTCAACCCTAAACCCTAAACCCTAAACCCAAAGCCCTAAACCCAAAGCCCTAAGCCCTAAGCCCTAAGCCCTAAGCCCTAAGCCCTAAACCCTAAACTCTAAACCCCAACCCTAACCCTAAGCCCTAAACCCCAAACCCCACTCCATAAACTTTATAGATCTCATGGCTCAGGCGGATGCCCCGGAGTTACGCCCTTCTTCCTTCGTGACGGGTTTTGGGTTCGAGGTGTAGGGTTAGGGTTTAGGGTTTAGGGTTCAGGGTTGCTGGTGAATCTTGCTTAGGATTCAGGGGTGTGGGGGTCGAACGTTCAAGAGCTTTTCGGGCTTTAAGGCTTCTCGGCTGTTTAAATTCACAAGAGTTTTTCGTGTTTTTAGGCTTTCAGGGTTTTCCAAGGGGTTTGTAGGGGGCTTCTGGGGTTCTCAGGCCTTTTAAGGTTTAGTTGTGAAGGGTTTTTCGTGATTTTGTTGGGGGCTTTGGGGTTTCTTTAAGGGTTTTCAAAAGGGTTTGTAGTGTTTTTTTGTTGGGGGCCTTTGGGGTTTGGCTTTAGGGTTTAGACTTTAAGGGTTCGGACTTTAGGTTTCGACGCCTAAAGCTTCCAAGTGTCGGATTCAGCCACTTGGACCCAAAACCCTAGACCCCAAAACCCGAAAGACTAAACCCCTGAGGCCCCCCTCAGTCGGGTATGTCCTTGTGGAAAGCTTTTGCAAGAAGCATGCCGCAACTCTTAGCCCTACAAGCCAAGAATTTCGGAAGCCCTAAACCCTAACCACCAGAGTCCATGCCCTTTGAAAAAAGAAGCCCTTCTAAGCCCCAAATGACGCCTTTGCGCTTAAGGACCCCTACACCCCCGCCCACCAAAAACTCCAAAGCCACTGCAGGCTCCCCAAGTCTAACATCCCAAAACCAGCCTCATCCCCACCAACGAAAAGAAGAAACACACACTTAGCCGTTAAACCCCTAAACCCTAAACTTTAAACTCTCAACCCTAAACC